AAAAGACAAAATGTGATCTATTGCTGCGAAATATGTAACACAACATTATTTAATTAAATAAAGTAAAAAAGGCCATGACAATAGACTATCACGATTTTTGTACAATGATCCGTAAATATTAGAACGTAAGGTTTATTGGATCAACTATTATTTCACTCAACATATTAGCTCTTATTTTCCCAAGATCCTATTCCAAATAATAGTGCTGACAACACTCGTCACAGCGGAATTGATAAATATGAAATAGACGAGACAACGCCTACTTACCGAAACATCTCTTTACATAATATGGCTTCGTCAAAACACGTTCATAAATGGGCATGCAAAGTCAACAAACGTGACTAAAAAGCAAAAACGGTCGTTAATGCAAGTCACTTGCAAGTAATAAATCATAAATGCACCGAACGTTTGTCTAATTCGTGAGAAGTTATACTTTACTTTTATTCATTAATCGATACATTATGTCAAGTTTGTCGTAAACTAAGACAGATTGTTTCATGTTTTAGTTTTATTTTGTGTAAACACACATCATGAAATAATACATCTGAAACTTGCGATTAGGGTTGACAGCTTTTATAAGAAGTAATAGAGTATATCTGATTTTAAGGTAGCAGCTCGCGTCCATTTGAGGGATCGCCCTTTGAAAATTCTCGGAAATAAGAACACTAGCACACCAATAACACGATAAGTCATCATCGCCAATACCTCTATATATAAGAGGCAGGCACGCATGAACCAAAGTTCCGTGCGCCGAATCTACCTTGTTTAGAAAAAATAGTAAGTCTGGACTGTTCTACAAGAGAGTATGGAATCGCGTTTTATTAATAAAGAAATAGTGTGCAGCGTCGCGTTTGACGGTAAGTATTTTATTGTTGTATGTAAATTTTAAGATATATATCTGTTTCTAGACTTTGATAACGAAAAAAAGGAATATTTATTATGTACTTGGTTTTTTTTTACTTAACAGTAAAAATAAGGTGGACGCGAATTATTACACCGAAAAATATTCTTAACGAATGCATTAATTGATTACATAATTGTGAATGCAAAATTAATCAAATATAATAGTTACTACACCGTATTTACAAAACTTCCATTTTGCGTCCACCATGGATGCAAACTATACCTACAGGACTTAGTATTATACCAAATTGCGTTCATTTTCTTCCTTAAATACGTTTGACTATGAGTTTAAAATTATATTTTTGGATGAAATAAGTAATGTCTTTAAATTTTTTTTTACCTAAGATTAGTTTGACTAGAGATAAGAAAGAAGAAGGAAAAGAGAATATAGACAGAAGAATTAAAAAAGCGTTAAATGTTATTCGTAAAAATAAGTCGACATGATATTTATGCTAAAAAATAGGATTCGATGTATACTGTTCCGAAAAAATCGAGATGGGAAGCTTAAAAATAAATACGAAAGTGTTCACTCAGATCAAAAGTGGTTTTAATTATTTTTTGCCCACATCTCACTTAAAAATGCGGAGGGTATTAATAAAGCTAGAGCCCAAGTCACAGAAGGGTCAATTAGATTTTGGGTTAGGGAGTTAGTAGAATATTTGCACAGAATACACCAAAAAGATATTTTGAGTGATCCAACAGGATTTTTGATGAAAATTAAAAAAAAAACATAATTATACTAAGAACCTTGTCTCCTACAAGGTTCTTGGTATTAAATAGAACTCCTACGTACCTTGTAGGTGTTATATTTTTAAGATAATTTAATGAAATATTAAATCTAATTTGTTTTTAATTTAGTTCTATTAACGTTGAGAAGAGTAAATACATAGGTTGTTCTATTTTCTTTATAATTATATAATTAGAGACGCGCCAAAGAGTGGTTTCACCGACCAACCAGATAACGAATAATATTTTATTTAGCTTTATTGAACACATTCTTATTAGGATTTCTTTGACTTATATATAATATAAAATAAACCTAACATAAGAAGTTTTGTCGGTTAAGTTCTATACGAACTGAATATAAATAGTGAAAAAGATGCTCAATACCGAATTCCAAACGAATATCCCGGGCATCGCTAATTATAATAATATTGATTTTTTAAGGTATTATATAATACTCTTAAATAAAGAAATTTTTATAATTAAATATTTTTTTTTCACATTATTTTAAATATATTACCCCTGCTCTCCTTTTCTAAGCTGGTGTACGCAATATGGCTCATGGGTGGACGCAATTCGGTTTTTGTGGACGCAAAGTGGGTAAAAATGTCAAATCCGAAGTTTGTGTATTTAATAAAAAAACCCAAGATGTTTCGAACAAAACTTAATGTTAACTTTACAATAGACTATATAACGGATATATTACATAATTTTTTCATTGAAATTAGTACTGAGATATTTTTATATTCATCTTCAAACTTGTCAACTACACTAAATGGACGCGAGCAGGTAAAATCACGACAAGATACTCTTTTTTATAAGTCCTTTAAGAATAAGGACTTATAAAAAAGAGGATCTTTTGTTTATCAAGTTTTGTTTATTTTGTAGATTTAACTCCATCCCAATGTTGCCTGAAAAATATCACATATATATCCATATGTATCCTTTCTACAAATATTGTAAGTGTTATCTTTTATGTATGTGTACAATAAATAGTAAATACCTATGAGTAAAAGAGTATTTTAGCGTCCCCTTTTAGTGTTATAAATAGTGATGACGATTAGATAAAAAAAAAGAAATTCTATTTATTCTGTCAGTCAGATAATGAATATTAGATACGGATTTGTTTTACTTCAATTTAACAAGAAATGGAGGAGTGGGGGTTTGCTACGTCACAGTTTTGTAGGAAATGTACAAAAGCGTGACGTCATTTGTCATTTCAAAAAAAAAAAAAAAAACGAGTTTAATATTTTTCACCAATCTAGCTGACAAATAATTAAAACTTAGTCGTCATACCTATTCTAGAGTCTACATGATATAGAGTATAATACTATATATGAGAGTACGGTCGGCCAACCTACCTGCGATATACATAGACATATCTAGCAAAAATGTAACATAACAAGGAATGTTAAACAAAGGCATTGATTCTTTGTTCACTCGCCGTGGCATAAACGTGCCGTAAAGTGAAATGTTTAGGGTGTCATCGTAAGAAAAGCGAGCAATTGAAACATTACTGTGTTTAGCGAGCGGGGTCGTAACGAGCGTAAAACGTTGCCAACAAATTACGGGTAGGCAAGCAACTATAAGGCTACACACTTTAACTACCGTACTTCGCCACATAATTTATGTTAGCAAAAACTTTAAGTTCCTTGGTTCCATCGGACATTCACTGTTATCAAGAATCAGAATTTCTTATAGGCAATAAACAGTCATCATCGTCATCATCATTTCAGTCGAGAGACGCCCACTGAATAAACAGTACGTAACATTAATTGACCTAAAATTATAACAATTAGCAATAATAACAACACAATACATAACCAAATGCTGCAGTCTCAACAGAGTTTGTGCTCGAAATCTGGGTTAGATCTCAGGGTGCCAGGGACCAAGTGGATTTTTTAAGCACTTTGCATTAAGAATAATTTTCAGTATGGCATTATGAATGCAAAATTAATCAAAATATAAAAATTAGAAAAAAAAATCTCATCTTTATCGAAAGTTTCAATATTTGTAACAATATTTGTTTTGGCTGCTTAGGTGGATGCCTGAACATTGATGAGAATGCTCACTAGTAACAAGGAGTAACAAGTGCTTGAAGGATTCGTCGGTGCTTTTGGGTCCTGGATGGCTCAGCAGTGGAGCAGTCGCCCGGATTGTGAGAGGTCGTGGGTTCTCATCTCAGGGTGCCAGGGACCAAGTGGATTTTTTAAGCATTTTGTATTAAGAATAATTTTATAGTTATTTGTAAGGCGTGAACCCTTGTAGTCTTTGGCGCGGTCCAAGTTCCAAACTGACAAATTAGCGATATCTGTTAGTTTACTAGTGTTTCAGTTTACTACTCAGTCCATTGGACTCTACAGTTGCTACTCAATGATCACAACCTCTGTCTAGAAAGCATTCCTACATCCCAGCCCAAATCAGGGTCCTGCCTCAGCTTAATGTTGATCTGACATAAGGTGTGCCAGAGATCGGTCAGAGATGTTGCTATTCATTATAGGATGCATCATAGGGATGCCCCTGGCTACCTCTGTACCCTTGCTGACTCACATTGAAAATTTGAATTCACTGAATTTTTTTTCTATTTAAAAAAATTATCTTTATTGTCTAATTTGGATTTTTTTTTATAATTCATGCACACTCCTCCTTTTAACGCAATCTTTCCTATAGTGCCCTATAATTTTATAACCACACAAAAAATTTCAGTTTTATTTCAATTTTAATTTACAGAAGAGCCTCGCCGTCTCTGCCAGTAAATTTTTAGTTCTCACAGTCTTCATGTATAGCAAAACTGACAGACCAAAAACTTTCTCAAAAAGTATAAATTAAATAAACACAATTTTTTTTTTCATATTTCAGTTGTAAGCATCAACACAACCAAAAATTCACATTAGTATATAACAATATTTGGTAACACTATTTTGTAAATAAAAGGAGTGAAATGTCATGAATGGCAGAGAAACATAATAATATACATTATAAACATACAATAATTTTAAATTGCAATCCGATTGACTGTTTAATGTTGATATCATAAAAGCAATCACTTTAGTTTCATTTCTGATATGAAATATAATACTGTATTTTAATTTTCAAAATAAATTAGAGCTACCATAACTTAAGCGTTGAGAGCATGAGGAATTAAAATTTTAATAGAATGTTTCAGTGTATTTGCAATTCTCATAGAATGCGAAGGTATTGAAACAAGTTCTGGTTTTAGGCACAAACAACATCAAAATGATTTAGAATGTAGTGTTCGAACTTTTCATTAACAATTTTTAGAAAGGGTGGTGAATTACTGTCAATCTGGTAAGCACCACAAAAGTTTTTGAACGAAAATAGCACTTAGTCTCAGTACCTCAATACACACTTACCTTTTATGTTAGCAGTCTATCTTTGTACAGGTTACGAATTCCTAATTCACACATTTAAATAAAAACACCGTTAATAATCCAGATTATTAAATGTTTGTAATCTTTGAGAAAATGTCTATATTTTCTAAAGTTTGTTGTCAAAAAGTATAAAACGGGTCAAACAACTCACAACACTGCACGACATTTTTCGAGTCATGCGTTTTGTTTTGACAGCTACAACTTCAAATAACTCGCTAAGTCGAGGAGAGACTACAATAGAAAATATAATATTTGCAAATATTAAATACTAAGTAATTAAGTAGGTGGAGAAACCAAAAATATCATATTTCTGCTAGATGTAAATTTCCTTTTATCACATCACCTTGGTACTCTTTATAGTATGTGCATAGCATAATAACAAAACGCAAATATTTTTTTTCTAACGTCCGTTTGTTGATGTTTTCTTTTTTTTTAACACGACGAAGAATTCTCTCTCAGACAGCCTATTCTTCAATAACAATGTTTTTGGTTTAACATTGGTTTTCTGTTCGACAAAACCGACAAAACAAAGTAATAAACATTTTTGCAATAACAAGATCACTTTAGATTTATTAATCTATGTTAAGAAAGACGTACGTGTCTTTGAAATTTCGAAATGTAAAGTTATAACCTTGCTGTTAGTTTCTTGTTAATAGATGAATTTTCATAAGATAATTTAATTATTAGATTAAATAACTAATCTTAGTTGAAATAAAATCGAATGGACAACTTATTTGTACAAACGTCATTCTAGTCAGAAGTCATATCATTTTTACGAGTACTCGATCTATTTGATATATCTAGGGTAGATAATTAACTGATTTTTTATTATAATTATCGATTTTTATTGTTTTCAGAACTTTTGTTAAATATTATAATGAAAAATGCCTAGACCAACTATGGCATTAAATGGCAACTATTTATAATAACCATTTCGCGGTAATATTATTGTATACCATCGCTAAATGCCACTTTCAATAATTTCACAGCTTTAATTCTATTGATATCTATAACTTTTAAAAAACCTTCTCTGTGCTCACTTCCATTAAGTATGCCCACTTCCACTAGTTTGATTTCGGGAACTAATGATTGTTAAATACTTTCTCATACTACTCTATTTGGTCTAACGTCATGAACGAGGCAGTATGTAAACAATGAAAGCACTAAAAAGCACATCCACTAGATAGCGACTTTAACAAAAGTTGATTTTTGCAAGAAACGAATGGACCAAAGACAGTCATTTCCGTTCCTTTTCGGAAACCAATGTTTTTTTAAATCATTCACATATAGATCCTCCAATTTGTGCTGCCATTGGCTGCCATCTAATGATATAAAATTTTTGTAGTTTCTTTATTTTATTAAAATACTTTTTCAATATAGGTATAGTAGACCAAACGTTAGTTCGCGACTCCTAAACGAACTAGTTCATTGGTTCGTTTAGATTCTTAGCTCTTTGCTTTGCAGAACCAGTTTTCAAACTAGCGAACGTTACTTTCGCTTGTATTATTAATACTGCTCTTTCTTGTAGTGACAAGATTAGTTAATATTGTACATTAACTTCTTACATTTTCGGACACAAAAACATCACAACATAAATAAAAATATGAACCAATATTCATAAAACACATTTTTGATGTAAATAACTAGGTTTAGTGAATAATATATTTATTATATTTTCGGCTTTATATTTTTAACAAGACGACATTAGTTGAATGGACTTCACCTTTACTCATTATGTCACGAACTAACCACAGAAACTAACTAGATCGCGTAGTTCGTTTGTGGGAGACAGTTCTTAGAACTACACCACACATACGTATACTCCGTTTCATTTAAAGTGGTACAAGATGTAAACAAATATGGCGACTTGATAGTTTTATTGATGGGACATAATATTATGAATTTGATTAATTGAACTATCTCATTCATGTCATTCAGAGACTTTCTATAAAATTTGTTTTGAATGAATACAACTATTCTCATAGTGGTATAATATATATTGAATTACGTTTTATAATATTGAAAATCCGTATATTATCATGACAACTGAACAAGTTTACTTTATCAAATACAAAATATTAATTGAAAGTTGACGGGATATAAATATTAAGTAACCTTCTGGTAAATATTGAGTTTATTGCATTTTACTTCGTCCTTTGATCTCAGTTTTACAATAAACAGTAAATTTACAGTTTAAATTTGCCTTAAGTCATGCGACACAATTTCTGAACAATGTAGTAGTGTAGAGCGTTTGGATCTTTTTTTTGCTGATGAAATATGTTCCTCCTTAATGTTGATTCAACATTTATTTAGCATGAAATTTATTTACATTGAAATTGACATTTTAGTCGCTCTGTCTGACTTTAAAATATAACAAAATGATGTTTTTCTGATCGGTGATCATTTTTATAGGTATATACAAATTTAATATCATGACAAACCAATCACTTTCACAAAATTATATGTTATAGTACAGTTGGCAACCCTAGTCCAGACTAAGCGAACAAACGGACAACATGAGATTCGCCGTTTACTGCCGCACGCCCCACACATTCGTTCGCCTTCGCGTCGTTTGGGATGATTCCCGCAGAAACAAACGACTAACTGGATGGCATCCTTTCATTAAGTGTACGCACAATAACTTGAACAAAACTAGGAAATATTAAAGTGCAGTAGATTTTTCGTAGCGACAATTGCTACTGTGCATGACACAAATGTTGAAATTAATTCTAACAAATTATTTCTATCATTTTTTTTTATTTATGTATAGATATTTTACTGAAGATGTAAATTAGTTTATGAATTTTATTTAGTATTCTTTTTTAAGCCACAGTTTTTTTTGATATATATTTACTACAAAATAGCAAATTTTTATATCAATTATATCAATATGCCTGACTGAGTTTCTCTTTCAATCACTCGTTTATATGTCTCATCTCTAGTTCTTATTTTTCCGAACTTTCAGTGGTGCGTCAATAGGGTATTTGACACTTTTCTGAAAACTATTTTAAGTCGTTGTTTGCTACATTATAAACACACTGTCATAATATTTCATTGGAATGTTTTCTATTTTTGGTGAAAATAATTGTTAAAATTTAAATAGCCAAAAGCGCGCGAAAAACGCTGCTCTATGTAATGGCGCTGATCGTGACGTCACAGGCCAGTAAATATGTCAAATCGATAAGTAACAATTGTCTTTAGAGTAAATTAGGGATGATCGATATTGACATCGAAGTCAACATTCGATGAAAACCATCGATGTTCCCCAAACATCGATGTGTTGCTGTTAAAAGAATTAACAAGCTTTAGAAAAAAGCCTCTCTGTAGCCGTGGAAGTCGCTGTGCAACATAAATATTTTAATGCAATCTTTTTTAATGTGGGATAGGTGGATTCTACCCCTTAACATAAAAGTAATGGGATAAGACAAGTGTCATAAAAATCACGCGGGAGTTTCACGGAGAGAGAACGAGCCCAACGAGCATAAAATAACTTTTTTTATACACATAAATGACCTTTTTCCGTTTTACACAGAAATTTTGCGGGATAGTGAGAAACGGTTTTTAATAGTTTTCTTCCTCCCTTGTTCTAAAAGTACAACACAAAGCCAACGTCATAAATTGTACTAATAAATTATATAAAAAATTTAATAAAAAATATTGCAATAAATATATGATAGTGCCATGTAGATTATAGTGTATTGTTATATATTTTAATATGCTTACAAGACGCAAAAAGATAGGTATGTTAGAAATAGACAAGATAGTATTAAGGTTAATGGGACGGGGGGTTTTAGATGGAAGTTGCTCATATGAAGTAGGTTGTTTCAGACAGTTGAAGAGGATGGGATCAGTGGTATCTTTTTCGATTCCGCACTCGCATGTGAAACTATCTAATGTACGGATCTTTGAAACTAAGACCGGTGAATAAAGTAACCTATAAGATACCAACGAGCGCTGAAGTTGACAGATTTATTTCTTATTTCCTAAGAAATGCAAGCAAAGAAAAAATTATTTGTTTGCGTACTCCAGTTACGAGTGCAACCGGTGACATCTAGTATAAAATAGTCAAACTTGATATACAAGATCATCTAGCTAGTACATCTGGAGCACGTTAGATGGCCCAAAGGGTATTTTGACATTTTATTCATAAATATCGATGTTTGGCACGAAAACATCGATGTGCCGATGTTATCCAATTTCAAACAACGATGACAAAACATCGATGTTTATTCAACATCGATGAATATCGATCATACCTAGAGTAAATTGAAATAATAATTTAAAAGAGAAATTGAAGTCGTAGTGTGTATTTTTTACGTTTTTTATTTTCCCTTGCTCTGGTTTTCTTTAAAAAGTAAGCTAAAAGTGTTGCGTACACACCACAATGTACTAATACTTCTATAAATAACAAACAAACTTCGAGTCTAGAAGAAAATAGATTCACAATCACAATAGTACAGTAATTATATAGAGTAGAGATGGGTGATAAAATTAGGTAAGAATTTGCTAAAAGTGTTGAAACTTTTTTATTTCATATCGATACATTTGTAGGTTTTCGTTTTAGTTTTTTTCTTAGTCATTAACATTTTACGACTCATTTATATTTGTTGACAGGGCTCGCACTTTACAGCCTGTCGACCTACAGATGGAGGAGACATTAGTACAAAAAGAATGTTCAAATTTTTATACATGCATGTAGTATGTCTGTCTACTAAATGCATGGCATTTGATAATTAGATATCAGATACCGATGATTTTTTTAAATTAGTTTTTAACTTGGTGAACACTATATATCATCAAAACCGACTTTGTAATTTTGAATTATTATAGTAAAGTTCAAGAAATGAGAAAAACATGTAAGTTGCTCTTTTTCTTAAATTGCTGGCGTTTTCCCTATTTCTTGGATTTTTTGAAAAGCTTAGTAAATGATTATTTTTTCTGTATTTCTTTTTGGCAGTTCTTATCAGTAGAAGCGGCAAAGTATTCTGTTATCAGTTAATTACTATAAAGTACTCGATACCTACAGACATCGATATTTTATGTATCTCTCTTACACTACTTTGACATGACAGCTGACGACGTCACAGGCCAGTAAACAGAATTGTGATAGGTTGTGACGACGACCAATTATAGGACGTTTTCGTCGTTGAATAAATTCCTAAAAATATTGCATTTTCTTTACGTTATTTTACTAAATCTCAACATCAACATGTTTTTTCTGCAGATGTTAAGAAATAAGCTTTATTAGATTATTATCTATCAGGATGACCACAAAATGCAACTTATTTTCGATAGTGTCAAATACCCTATTCTCCGTTAATAGTTTCGGTGACTTGTTTTTTTTACATCATTCGCCACTTTAAATGGAATAAGGCATAGTATAGTATCTCATTCTTGGTCTATGGGTTACACAAATATATATTATACTACTCTTTGGCTCACAGAACAATATACTCCTTTGGCTACACCTTAGCGAGCAAAGAGAAAACTATATGTATATATATACATATATTTAAATACTTGAAAGCAATAAGACATGCTCTATAAATAAATCAGAAGAGGTCAATACTAAGGACAAGGCTGCATGGTCATCAGATCTTTGCCTAAAAAGGAAGAAAAAAAAAAACTATATGTATAATTCAAAGAGTAGCACCTATACAGAGACTATAATTAGGGGAGTATAATCGTCAAGAGTTTAGGTTCCTTGAGTATAATTTGTGATCTTTCATCGCCATCTTTCATTCATTTCATTTTCATTTTACATGTAAAAATTAATTTATTTACTTGACATTGGCAGAATTGTGCGAAATGCGCAGATAAGCCATTAATTAAAAAAGAAGAGTATAATTTGTGGCAAATAATACTTTATAATATCTATAAGGGCAAACAAGTGGCGATGTGAATTTCAATTTTTTTTTTTGGGGAAACATGAGTTTATTTTGAACCTTTCATATAATTTACATATTACAAATTGTAATTGCAGATAGAATTAAACATAATTGATGAAAGAAAGAACCTAAGATGAACAAGATATTTAACAAAATTCTGAGATGCTCGGTGGTGTTAAATAAATCCCAAAATGTGTATAGAATGGGTCCTGTCGCAATTAAAAACAACTTTCATACGACTTCTGCAAAATGCGACTTGATGGAGTTTTTCGATACCAAGAAAAATTGGAGCGAATCTAACATCAGAGTTGGTCGTGCTTGGAAATTAGATGAGCTAAGGATTAAATCTAATTCCGATTTACATAAATTATGGTATGTACTATTAAAAGAACGTAACATGTTGTTTACAATGGAACAGGAATGCAATGCAAAAGTAAGATTGTTTCCTAACCCTGAAAGGATAGATAAGGTACAAGAGTCAATGGAAAACATTGAAAAAGTTGTAAGAGAACGTAACATAGCTTATTATAAATTAGAAACGGGGGAAACTGGCGAGCGTCCTGTTGAAGATGTTGTCAACTTAATTGGCCTTCAAGAAAAGTATGAGAAAAAAGAATATGCAATACCAAGATTTCTGAATTCTCGATGGGTTAAACCATATCTGGAGAATGGTTACACAAACAGTTATGCTATAAAGAAATTTTTGAGGTTGTATAAAGAAAAACAATATAATGAAAAGAGGAAAGCAAGGAATAGAGATTATAATCACGTTCAGCAGTTGTTAAAAAGATTCCCGGATATGGATATGGAATTACTTAAAGCTGAATATCCAAATGTTGATATAGAAAAAGCCAAGCGCACTAAAAAAGCCAGAGGCAACTATATGCCTAAATACTAAATTATTTAGCATGAACATTAATTTAGTAGTATCATTAATTTAGAATATATTAAAATTATATTTGGAATAAATAGTCACATAAAATATTAATCATGGACTGTTTTTTCTTGTTTCAGTATATCATTTAAAAAAACTTTATTTTTTCTCCTTTTATTTTAATATATTATATTTGCAATAAAATATTATAATAGCTTTACCATTAAAAAGACAAAATATATAGTATTGTCAATAAATTAAGTAAATATGTATAAGACAATATCACATATGTTTGTTTACATTGAAACTCCAAAACTGCTGAATCATCATTTAAAAATTGTTTCACCTATGGAAGCTGCATTATACACATTACAAAGGCTATGATTTGTGCAGGTGAAGTTGTAGGATGACAGACAGGTTAAGATAAAATAATGAGCTGTACAGTAGTTTGTGCTTTCAGCATACAATTTGGGAGAGAAGTCTAGTACATATAAGCTTCTGCAGGCAGATTAAGCCAATGATCATAGTTCCATTTGCAGTAGACAACATACCCACCAATCCAATTGAAATTATAAGGTGGTTTAAGAGTCATGTTCTCTTTGTTCTTTTCTATTTACCTTAAATTTCAGACCATTGATTTACTGTCTATAATGCTAACAAAATAATGCAACAAAATTTGAAAATATGTTTATTACAAATATATTGTTTTATATATTGAATGTTATAGTAAAAACAGATTTTACTCGTTTTGAGGAACAGTGCAAAATTATATATGTAAATAGCACATCCCAATTAACATATCTGGTATAATTATAGTCCCAATTAAGATACTGCGCTAATGCACACAATTATTTTGGCAGAGCGATAATTAAGCAATAGATGCACTGACCGCTTTATAGTACTTGATTTTTGACAGAATTCAGAATTTCAACATTGACCCGACTGAGAATCGAACCCGGGACCTTAGAGATGGCGACATCTTGGAAACTGTTTATTTCTATAATTATTATTAACTAATAAAACGAGAAAAATTATTCATTACAGGAAGATTATTGTCAATATCCTTTAATGTCTGTGTTGTTGCATGTTAGATAATGTATTTTATTATTATTACAGAATGTCAAAGAGACAACATAATTAATTACAAAATGAGAGCAGTCTTATCAGTTTCAAATCACATTTTTTTAAGTAGATATATTTAGTTGATTAAAAAATGTGTTTACTTTTGTTTCACCATTTATTACAGACCTATTTTTGTAAATATTTTGAATGTCTCTGGTAATTCGCCACTATCACGCTTTTCTTGTAACAGTATCATAAGTTCACGTAATGTTTGGTATATAGATCTATATCTTTTCACAAACTGTTCTGACACTGAGTAAGAACAAAATATAGGCAAACTATAATCATTGTTTGAAGAGTCGCCATTCAGCAACTGCTCATTCAGTGAATCTAATGCTTCTTGCATGTTTTGAACACTGTATGCGTCTAAATAAGCTCCAACTGTAATATATAATATGTGTACAGCATCATTAAGAGTAACTTCAACTTCTTTATGATTCAAGTTGTCTTCCAATTTTTTATAAACATTTTTTTCACTTGTGCTGTTATTTGAAGCACTTGTATTTACATTTGCATATTTCTTATTGAGAAAATTAAAAAGGTTCTTGACATTTTTCAAAGAATGTTCTGTTGTCTTATAAGGCATTATTTCAGTTTTACTTTCTGGAAATTTCTTCCACTGAGTAGTTTTGATGAAGTCAATTAGTATACTGATGGGGTCTTCTGCTTGAGTTGCAAGTAATGTTTTTAAATGCAGTACCCCAATGAGATACTGCATGTAGTCTGGTTTTATTCTCTCCAATATCTTAATTTTTAATTTTTGGGACATTCCTGTAATTTGGATATATAATAAAATTATAACAATTGATATTATATTATAAACTATAACAAATAAATTTCAGCCAGAAGTTTAGTGATGAAAGCTGCAGTAAGTTGTTAGTCATTCAAAGTATACCTGATATCAATTTGTAGAACTCTTTTGCAAAGACTGTACAATATTTTCCAGTGTTAGGGTAGTCACTATTGGAATTGTTTTCACAAATGTAAAATGTTTGAATTATAATATTTAACCATGCCTGAAAAGAAAAAAAAAGAGTTTAAAATTGTGCACATAGTTTTGACAAAGGATAGAATTCTGAGTAAAGCTTTATTTTAGTTAATTAATGAATTAATAATACTTAATCAGGGTAAAACCATAGTAAAATGGTCATCACAAAAATACATATTTGATAAACATTTCTCCTATTATAATGAAAATGTATTGTTTTAAATAACCCTATGAGTTGATGGCAATATTAACTTCAATCAATATCTATTGAATTTTTTTTTTTTAAACAAATGCATATACTTACAGTTATGACTTTAATGTGTTCTTCAGGGTATTCAAGTTGTATTAAATAGATGAACAACCTTAATATCTGCCTGCAGTTATTGTTCACTGTTCCTGTATATAGCACATTGTTGGACCACAGCAAATGAGCCATCAATGGCTTATGAGATCTCATGATATGGGAGCCTAAATTGTTAGTGTATCTGAAAATGCATTTCTTTTAATGAAAGTTATAATAGTAGTCTTGGACACAAGTTCATAATAGGAGAGAATCAATTGCCAAGACTAATTTAGAAAGTTACTACTATTTACTAAATCACTGTTAACATACTGATTAAATATTAAGCAATGAAAAATTATCAATTTTTGAAGAAAATTAAAAGATATAGTTGCCATTTTAAAATAACAGACCTCAAAATAGTTATTTTTAATTTGTGAGATGATGTTTCGAAACTAAACTGCTATTAGAATTAGGATAAAAGATATTTAATTTTTATTTACTTATGATCTTAATAGGCTTGTGTCCTACAAGTGAAAATACAGATTTTTCTTATATCATCGAAAAATATGAACCATTTTAACTTATAAATGTTTAACAAAACACATTTTAAGTTATTGATTTGGAAAATATTACGCTTTGAAAACTTGAAAAAAGTAGAGAAAATCTACTACAAAAATTTGCTAAAATACATAAGGCATTAAATTAGATATAAAAAATGCAACAACATTCATTATAACAGCTATAAACATAAACGCACAAATAACAAAGATATTACAAAAAATGTCCAGACGCCCATACATTTTTCGCTACTGTAGCACCGTGTGACATCACTGAGTGCCTTGAATATGTAGGGAGCGTTTTCGGCCAACTAGCAGCAGTTCTACAAACACAGCACCGTATCTCCGAAACTATTAATCGCAGACATGCTGTTACTTCGACATTATTTCTCAGATGTTAATGGACTATTTATTTATGAAATAAAAAAAAAGTAGTCAACTAGCCTATTGTCACACTACTTATTATTGCTGCTACTGGAGTACCATATAATGGGATTGCTACCCTGTACCTTGTTTTAATGAGTTTTAAGGAATGTAAATATTCAGTACTTATTAAAAATATGATACATAATAGCAATGCCCTCTATAAATAACTAAAGCTCTCTGGCAAATGTCAAACAGAATTAAATCGGAAGAAATTCTATTGTAAAGAATTTCTACCTATTTTTTTTAGATTTACCACTCACTAATACAGAATATAACCACAATTATTCAAGTTCTCTATGTGCATGCTTGTTAATCAAGTAAATATATTAATTTTTAATACTAATAATAATTACTTTTTCTTGATGAGGAAAAATAAACTATGATTAATATAATGTCCTTGTACCTTGTATTCCATATAGCTAAATCCAGTTGCAATAACTCAACAATACTGTCTAAAACAGCAAAAAGTCTGTTTATCCTCTCAGTTCTGTCTAGAAGTTCAAAAATTTCAAATTTCTCTTTTTGCCAATGCAAGCCTTTCACACTTTGCTTCATTTCTTCAGGTATATGCTCATATTTATCTAGTAGTGGCCCATCTTTACTGTCCACACTTATTTCATATTCCAATCTATTTAAACAATACTTTACTATTCCTTTGTTACACTCAAATTCTGATCTATTGGTAAATGTATTCTCTTTTAAGTCCATAGGGCTTGTGAGAAAATCAGTGTAGCATTTTCTTAGGGTTTTTATTAAACAAGGTGGGTGGTAGTTAAAGTTATGTTCAAATATTTGCTGACATTTGTTGATCAGGTAATCTATTGTATAATCTTTGTAATCATCACTGTGAGCATTCTGAAAAAGAGAATATACTAATTAAACATTTAAGGAATAAATCTATAAATTGGTCATCTATCAGTATCTTTTAAGAATTGTTAGTCATTATTTTTAATAATGTGGACTCTTACTGAACTTTAAGACATTAGTCTAAATTAGACATGTAAAATATATTACCAACATGATTTCCACAACTTCTTTGAGAATATTTGTTGATAGATATTGTTCAGAAGTCGTACATAATCTGCACACTTCTAATGCTTCACGCCACATATTTGTTTTAATTTCAATATTAAATGATTCTTCGACATAAGATGACGTCTGCTTCAAGGTGATCTAGAGGTAAACAGAAGTAGTTCACGGTTGAGTCTTATTAGACATTGGTTTGGATCGGTACTCTAAAATTATCTCTTTATATTATCCAGAAACTATTACATACTTACGTCTTTTTTATCAACATGTTTGCAAGCAATATTTTTAGCGCAAGTTGGCAAATAAACTAATTGAAATCGAGAGCTTTGATTGAAGTAAGCTTTGTACGACACAATTTCACATGCCGTTATGAAGTTTTGCCTTTTTTTGGCGTGGAGATCATCCTCTAGTATTTTGTCTGCTTTATGCCGTTTTGACAAGTCTAGGTCTTCATTTTGGTTTTTTCTTTTCAGATGATTACATAATTCGCTCTCATCATTCGAACTTATTAATCGTGCTTTTTTTTTATTAGGACTACTCATAGTGTTTTTCAAGAATCATAAAAACGTATATTTTTGTTTTTCTCCAAACAACACATAACCACAGACTTAGCACATAACACAAACGTCAAATACGAATGAACGAAGGTCAGTAATACCAACCACATGCAGGGATGCAACGATATATCGGAAAACCGATATATATCGATGCCCAAAAATCGATTTAAATCCATTTCTAAGAAACAGTAATAATGATATCACACATATCGAAACATCAATGTTATACGGGCTTATCTTATCATCATATGTGACGTTATTACTCGTCGCGTTCAGGAATTATTATTTAATCCCTATTTTTACTTAAAAATTTTAAGTACCTTCTTTTTTATTATTATAGTTTGTGCTTAATAATTCCCAATTTATCTAAAGTGGCACGAGATTTTTCCATTGTAGCCACCAGCATACTTTATGAACGTTTTTTTTTTTCAAAACCAGAAGCCACTTTCACACAAAGCAGTAACAGAGGCCCAATTGTCTGATTATCCGTTCTAAAGATATTATTTAATTATCCATATCATTTATTATTTAATGTTAATTGGATTAGAGTTGTCTAATCTTGTATTAGTTAGACGGTAGATGAAAAATATCTTTGAAAGCTATAGAGAAATGACAAACGAAATGCTATCTGCAATCTTTCTACGGGTTTATTATATTTCTTGGTCATTAAAATCACCATTCATCAAAAGCATTCATTCATTCCAAAAACAATCGAGACTTTAAATTTACATAAATCACTATCACAATTGCTATATCTTTGAACCTCTTCAAAGATATAGCAGCTGTGATCTCTCGATCACGATGGATTTTGAAATTAGAAAATTAATTAGCCCACAGGCGTCACGAAATTGGGATGTCTTTGTTGTTGTTGTTAGAAAAGGCTCCTATATAGTTGGGAAAATCGAAAGTGAATAGCAGTGACGACAAAATATCATTTCATTTGTGTTAATTAAATATTTTTATTTTCCGAAATTAGGTTTAATTTTTCTTTTCATTGTCGAAAATGTTAATGATTTAGGTGTGAAACTTAATATTAATTCATATTATCTATGTGTACCTATTTGTGAAAAGATTCGTATTTTATCCACTGTTTTTTTTTAACGAGTATTGAAGCGAAAAACGAAAAACTAAGACGAACGTCTTAGTTTTAGTAGCTTCACATTTTTGCTATGTATTGCGTATCTAGAAAAATCTTGAAAGTGAGACGGCTGAATTATAAAAACCTTTGTAAATGGTACCCCTAAATGGAAACCATGTCAAACTATTGATTTAACCTTTGATGGTTAAATCTTACCAAAACACATATTTATGTGTTATAATGCTCGTCATGTAGATTTATATATATATCCTACGATATAATGCTACCAATGCTGTCGCTTCGGGCATACAAATTCTCAATGTAGATCTAAACCTCGATGTTTCAAGTAAGGTCAAAATCTTACAGGTGAGTCTTGTAATACCTTGGAAGAAGATGCATCCTACTGCTTATGTGATGGAATATCATTTCGCCAATAATAAGTTATGTCCAGAATTTGTAAAGCACTCTTCCCACCGCCTAACGCTGCACAGAATATTAAGAATAATATGAAACCTGTAATAATATGAAACCTATAATAATATGTTCAGTAGTTTCAGGGTGATTGACGGACAAACATCCAAACAAAGAAACTTCCCCGTTTATAATATTAATAGAATAATATTTTCCGTGGTAGATGAAACGAAACGCTGCAAACCGCATTATATTAAAGTTTAAATATAATGATTACTTTGTAAGTATGTTATATATTAATATTTTCGTTTCCTGATCCTATTACGAATAACCAAAATGTTCTTAGTATGCAATATTGCAAAAATTTTAAATATTTTTCCAGCACTATCACTAACCTATTGTAAATCACAATTATGATAAGTCACCATGTCAATAAATTCATCTGTTACTTTTTTATTGTGCCATTATTACGAAGATTTCTTACTTTTAAGTTTTTAACTTCATACTTTATAAAAAATAAAATAAAAATTAAAGCAGCAATTTAAAAATCTATAGTTATAAATTCAAAAACATGATTATTTGTTTTGTATTGAATAGGCTTCGAAACTAAGTATTGGAACGTTCTTAAAAATAATTTCACCAATAAATTATACGAGCAAAATAGTGGAAAAACAGTTAGTCTATTTATAAATTAATTATCTGTATTACTTTTGTTGTACTTATTTAATTTATAACGTTGAGTAGGCTATTAATTTACTAATGACATTATCCACCTCCATCAATTGGTATTCCTGAAGCTAATTATTGAGTTTATAATTAATTAAATTTGTATATCTTATTAAGATACGGTATGAATTATAGTTAATTATTTTTTTCTGTGTATATCACACTAGCTTTCCGCCAGCGGTTTTGCCCGAGTGGTTTTCGCATTTTCTCTCCATTTTTCATTGCTGCTATGGAGTTATGGGTGTGATGTTATGTAGCCTATAGCCATCATCAATCAGTATCTAGTTCCTGAGACGCTCGTTCAACCAAGGAAACCATGTATCTCTCCATACCTAATATATCTGAAGTGTTTGCACTTCAGATATATTAGGTATGGAGCAGATACATATGAGTGGTTTTGATGTATCTAATTTAAAGTGGAAGAAAAGAGAGATGAATGACATTGTTGGAACTTTTAGGTGAGTATTTCATATCTTATGAAAGCGCAAAAAAGGAATCACTCTTATTTTTGGGGGGGATTAGTGTCGAAATCAATGTCACTTTGCTCTCCCTGCTCCGTGTTGCCCTTGCACTGAAGGCTAAAAAAATTTCTCTAATATCTTGATTTCAGGGTTAAATTAAGTAAAAATATTCTCTAATTCGTAGTTTAATTGATTTATTGTTACAAAGGTGATGGTCCACTGTCAATACTTCCTTTTAACACCTATAAGAAATTTGTTTCAGAAATGTGTAATTCAGCCCGGTGTCGTAGAGGATAAGAGCCGCGGTCCGCGAATGTTATTGTTAAGCAACTTTCGCAAAGGTCACGGGATGAGTGACCAAAAAAATATAACGTTAAGCCATTGGTACTCCAATCCGCATTAGGCCAGCAAAGAGGGTTATGGCCCATCAATGAGGAAGGTCTGAACCCCTGCAGTGGGGACGTAACAGGGTTGATAATGATGATGGATCAGAATTAAACTGATAAATATCTGTCTGATTATGAAATAATATTAGGTTTTTAAACAAGCCTTTATGGGATATTGGAACAGGGATGTGTGTGCTATTTCATATAAAAGTAATCGCAATGCGTCTAAATTGCATTAAAATGTCATGTTTTCATAATATTATAGTACAATGTAAGTTCCCATTAGCACCTTCCAGTTCCATTTGCAAACCTTGTATCTCTTATATCGAATCTAAATCCTTGTCAAGACAAATCAGAGAGACAAACTCGATGGAGGTGCTTCGTTTAATTCGTTCCGATTTCGTTCCATAACAATCTTCTGCTTCTGGCTGAATCATCAGATGAGCTCTATTCTATATTAATTAAGTAAGCCAAGTTATATATGCATGCGAAATTTTACCTCAAAAACTTTGCTTACTTTTGACTCATACTAACAAATTAACGGCAAGTTAAGGTTGGGCGTAAAGACAAAAAGAAAATAAAGACGATATCTACGCGCCCGTTTTAGAATAGAGAAGAGGGTATTTTACGGAAAAAATATTTTAATACAGTACCTAATATGTACTACGTAGCAATAAGGCCACATTTTTTATTTTCTCTTTTCTAGATTTTCTGTAATATGCCCTGTGTAGCGTTGAATAAAAATACTATTTTAATAATTAACATAGTTAAAGCTACAAATCCCTCAGCTGCGAGTGACTCATATTCATTAAAAAGTTGTAATTGGACTACAGGCCCATGTCAAAAAATGGATGGGTCATATGACCGTCCGACCGTATACGTCACTTGTAAGCTGTCCAACTGAGTGCAGGTGAGAATTCGAAAGTGCAGGTAGAGTGAGTACATTTAAGTCATATATTTTTGTACGGCATTTCACCATCGATAGATCCATGAAAAATAATAAGAAAGCGCGCAGTCCCGTAAAAAAATGGTGCGCCACTTTCTGACAATTCCAGGGTAAATTTGGTTATTTCATTCTGCACGGCATCAGTTTCATACTGTTTCAATACAGCTTTTAATCCATTATTCCGCAACGCCGTACAAAAATCATGCGACAAGGGGAAAAAATCGAGGGTTGCAACCCCCTCTCTTTCTGTGGTCCGGGGGGTGATTTGAAACAACATAAAATTACTTTATTTTGAAAGTATTTTATGCATAGATTATATTTGACATTAAAAAAGGTGAATGTTTAGACGTAACATTATGATCATTCTTTTAATATGTTTTATCAAAATTTTATACAAAAGCTCACGTTTTGTCTAAGACTAAACCCTTAGAAATATAGTTTTATAATTTTTAATTACAGTTTATTTCATGTTATTAATTTGTACAAAACCAATTGAAAGTTTTACGTTTCTACGTGCTTTCGTAAATAAAAGCTTCTTCAAATATTCAACCCTTAACTTCTGAAGTTGCTTTTCGACTAAAAATTGATATTTACTTGTGATAACTTCTATATAGGTAGACAAAGCATGTGTTTTTTTTTCAAAAAGAAAAATAGTCGCAATATATCTCAGTTGCCTTAGGACGGTCCTGAATCCGCAACATTTCATTGTCGGGGCGACGGGTTATTCAAATGAAATCAATTAACCTCTGAAAGTCCTTTCGAAATTCTTCGGTAGTATAATTGAAAGAACAGTAGAAGAAATCTCGGGTTTTAAACTTCAAATAAATTACATTTTGAATGGAGAGTCTTCACCTTTATTATTTTGATATTAACTATGTTGAAAATCGGAAAAACTATTTTGAAGGTTCTCGAGGTTATTGAAACCTTAGAAGAAAGGGGCATTTAGAACTTATAAGACCAGAGAAATATTTTATAGAAACCTCCGATATGCTCGCGTAAATTTTAGTCTGTTATTCACGTATGATGTACCTATTAGAATTTTTAAATATCGATCGACTAGCTTAGAGACTTATTCAATGCAAACAATGAAATATTTTCTCTTTATAATATATGTGTAGATTAAAGAGTTACCTTGTACAAATATAATCTAAGAGCCAGTGTATTATCTTTTTCTTGTTTAAAAGCAATATTGAGTTCTAGTTGTGATACAGTTAGGTGCAAAACTGAACATATAATATTTTGTATACCTACGATTAATAGGTTTAAATTAAATAGGTTTGTTCTCATAAATCGCTTCAACATAAAATTAATATAAAAAGGCAAAAGATAAATACACAAATGGAGGTCTTTATTTACCTGATGTGACGACGCAGTTTTTCTATGCATGCACTTTTTTATTACCTATACACTTAAACTCACAAGGACACATCCAATCACAAAATAAGTATATCCAAATCATTTATTACGAAAATAACACTGAATTGACATATAATCTTTTTTATAGCGGTATTAATGTTTTACTTTTGTTTACCTACGGAATGAAATTATTTTAAAGTTTGATTTATATTTATTTTAAAAATGTCATTAAAATTAAAAAAAAAAGTTTTAATATGTGAGAATTAGGAAAGCTATATTTTATTTAAATTTTTCCTTCAACCATTCGCCTTTAAACATTAACTGTTGCAGAAGTTAACCTACGCAACTTATTGAAACGCTGCGTACCAGCCAAATATCGAATATTATTGATTCATAGCATTGCACAGTTCACGATTGCTTTTATTTCTGTCGGTATAAAACCACAATACTTGGTACAGCAGGCATCAGTGTCAGGGTAGTTCTGTCAACTTTATCACGGGTAGCATTACGGAGAAACAACATGGCATTCGTATTCAAGGTAATTTAAAAAACAATTATATAAATTAATTTAGAAACAATTACATCGTTATAATATCCTTTATCAGTTACATAATAATATCAACCCCTATAAAATAATATCCTTCTTACATATTAACTTATACATCTCTCACATTCGTATCCCTATGGATACGACAGAGAAGAGATTACTTAAGAAAATTTCATATCTTAAACAAGAATAACTGTTCTTATATCTAATAGCTTATAATAATAGTATTCTAATTATTAATAGTTCTTGCTTCAATCAAATTCTTGTTAATTTGGTATAAATGTCTGCTTAAATTAAGCATAATCTCAATTAGGTAATTACTTATCTCGACTAAAGATACGAGTGTAAGTGCTCTTTAAAGTTTATTTTCTTAACTATATCAGTGAAAACTTTTCCTTAGATAAAAAGCATTTTTGAAAATTTTCTTTTTCTAAATTATGAGGGTTTTTGGTTTTAAATTGGAAATCGTAAGTCTTTATAGAGATAATTTTCCAAATTCATACTTTTAATAGCAACTATCTAAGGGTTAATATTAAAAATAATGTGATTGACAGCTCATGGAAGATTCTCCATTAAATTGAATGCTCCAAATTCAGAAAACAATACTTTTATATAAATATTGTATTAGAATGTTAATTCAAAAGTAATACATACGTTTTTACATATTTTGAATGCACTTATCCCAATGAGCATATACACTATAATTATATTATAAACGCGAAAGTTTTATATTTGTCTTTCTATTACGTCGCAAGAGAGCATCGTGATTGCATTTTTTTGTCAAACGAGAAAAACCCTATTTATAATCCTTTAACCAGGTGAGTTAAACCGTTTATCTGGTACTGTTTTATCATAAATTTTACTAGTCAAATGTTATTTTTATGTCAATAACAAATTTTAATAATAAGGTTGCTCACTTTTTTCATATCACTATTACCTTTCTACCAATTTATTTTCTTAACTATATCAGTAAATTTTTACTTAGTTAAAATCGATTTTTGTAATTTTTTTTTCTATATATGAGGGTTATTCTTTTATATCTAAATAATAATAATAATATTTATTTCCACCACAAATAACATTACAAAAGGATGTAGAGTAAGTTTATCCTATTAAGGGTCATTTGTGGGAGACTGGTGCCTGTTTAGGTTCAATCCCTTATTACAGGTCTAAAGTCTTTATAGAGATAATTTTTCAACTTCATATTTTTATAGAGCAACTATCTAAGGGTTAATATTAAAAATAATGTGATTGACAGCTCATGGAAGATTCTCCATTAAATTGACTGCTCCAAATGCTCCAAAAGTAAGGCTGCTCACTTTATACTACTACAGTATTACATACAGCCCTTATAAATTAATTGTTCCCACCGCTGATGCTCAAAGTATTACTCTATATATACATCTGGAAAAAATCACCTTTTGGATCCATCGGCGATGCTCATAGCATAAAAAGTGTTAATAAATAGAAGCCAGCATTAATTTGTTTCTTTATTAAAGCACTAGCTCATTGCTAGCAGCTTTGCCTCTGTAGTACTGTATTATACATATAACAAAGATGTCAGCGTATAGACAACCTTTTTTTTATACTATGTATGGATATAATCGAACAGCCAGTTTAGTTTTTAAACATTTTCTATGTTTTAATTCAATTCATTATATATATTAAACAAATACGAAACCTATGCTTAAAATATTATTATTATATCAATAATCATAAAGTGAATCATTCGGGTTCTCTCCAATTGTATACATTTATCAAGCTATAATTTACTTAACAAGCATTAAAAATATAAAATTCTCAATAATTTAACTCGAACTTCATTCAGCTGAATGGAATTTGAACGACTTCGAGGAATGTCATTACAGATCGTCGTAACATCTCATAATGTTTTAACACGCAAATTAGTCTGTTAAAGAAACAGATTGCAACAGTGCCAGATGTTTTTTCTATACGAACAGTTTGCAAGTAACTTTCTTCGTGTTTGTTTGCCGCCTGGTTACCCAACGAGATAGTAGCGGTCAGTCGTGAAGGCCGTTTTTTTAGTAGTGAGATTACGAGTCACGACCCTGTTCGCAGTTTAGGCTTTTCTCTTTATTTTTATATATTTCAATGTCATTTTCGTCATCGCTGACCTTTGACTAATTCTTCTAATGGCAATTTTAACAGCGGAAGAGTGCGATATAGTAGAGATTTGTATTTTTAAGGGTATTTTCAGAAAACTTAGTGATACAACTAATGGTGTTGGTCAGGGTTCAAAAATCAAAGTTTATATTATTAACCGAACTTCATGCTCGGAAAACAATGAGATACCATAAACTTTTCTTATATTTTCATTCGGATCAAAACAAAACGAATTCGTTTTTTTTCGTTTACAGATTTTGGTTACTTAGCCCATCGATCGTTTTCTTTGTCTCTGTCTTTTATGTCTTCTTATTCTCGCGCAATTTTTCGTAAAGTGACGTAAAGCAATGAATCATCACTAAAAAGATTTGGAATTCTAAACTGACGGCGTACGAAGCTCTACCTTTATTATAAGTTAATTGCAGTGGTTATAACTCTCGAGGAAAACTTATTAACCGGTATATCTCGAATTGTTCTTAAGTCTTACTCTTAGTAGATGTGATTGTAGGATCTTAACTTTAATCGATTTATTATGTTTCAGTTTCTTGTACCTTTCGCTTTGGCATCAGTGGTTCTTGCCGGTAAAGCCCCGGGTGGCTACTCATATAATCGATTCAGTGGACCTGTCAGCGGTAGGATCATCGAGGTGAAAGTGCCAGCTGCTGAAAATATAGCTGCCCAACAGCACGCGGACTACGGTTATGATCATCAAACTGGCAAAATACATCCAGACACAGCTAAATACGCTCATTTGAAGACTGTAGACTATGTGGTGAGTTCTTAACGATATTGAATTTCTAAGTTAATGTTATCACTGCGTTTTTGCTGTTATTTTGTGCTACTAGTGAGTTTACCGAAAAGTAATAAGAATTACGTAACTTAATAAGAAATACGTTTTATTTTACATTATATTTTATAGATTTTGCATTCACAATCCTACTTAAACTAACTTCAAGGTCCCAAGATAGGATTCGAAACCATAACCTTTCGCAATCCGAATGACTGGTCTAAGTTAAATTACTGAAAGTTTATTATTTTAAGGTGCTTGGTGACTATATACTGTACCAAGTGGGTACTGTGTTGTTGAGTCACCTATTATCACTTGAATATTATATCTAGCACATGTGCACAAACCTTCGTGGTTTTTCCTCATGGCTTAGTTAAATTATCGTGATAAATAATTATCTTGATGTGTAAATACATTTAAAAGAAGTAGTAGAGTTACCTAAGACCTAGCGGGACTAACGATTTTATTAAGGACTCGTTACAATTTATTATTAAACTTTCGATGAGATTGTATGTTTTCATTTTTCTCCGGTTAGCGAATAAGTTTGAAAGTAAAAGTTGCTTTGTATACATGTTCAAATTTGGAATACCTTTTCAGGCCAAACCTGATTATCAATACGCATACGGCGTAGAAGATCCCCACACCGGCAACTTGCAGAACCATAAGGAGTTCCGCGATGGTGACGTCGTACGTGGTGAATACTCATTAGTGGAGCCTGATGGTTCTCTCCGTCTGGTCAGATACACTGCCGACCCTAAGAACGGCTTCCAGGTGAGACAGTTGTCTTTTACAATTATTGTTAATAAGGGGATTGCTACCATTTACTTTATGTTTATCGAGTTCCCAATATAATGGCACTATTGCAGGCGCAATAATCACACAGTAACTGAAGATTTTTGCGGTTATTGCCAGATAACTTGTTGATATATCGATATATACCAGGTTGATTGATATATACCAGGTTGATATATCGATCTACTTTGTTTCGAGTCCTCTTATCTTCGATACCTATACCTTTTTCACATCACCATTAACTCTCTCCTGTTCTCGATACACAACATTCACTATATAAGATCTAATCTCAATCGTTATAGTGTTATAAAAGTGTATTACTTTGAAATAATATACAATTGTCCATTTCTACAGATTAGCCAAATTTCGTGCAAAGTTCATTCTCATTCTTCAGTTAAATTATAACAAGTATCTCACTTATGTAATGTAATATTAGTTTTTTATTACTTCAAACCTTTTTATTTTATTAGAAATAATGACATTTTATAATTATTATATACCCTTAAACCTCCGTGGTCGAAAGACTGACACGCCGATTGCAAGGTATCACTATCACCGAAGTACCGGATTCGATTCCGAGTACGGGTCAATATAGAAAATTAACTTTCCTACGGGTCTGATTGTTGTGCTATATTCATTGTTTCTGATTTCCATAATACACGTGCTTTATTTAAGTAGTTCATTTGGGATCTGAGCAATGTATGTGATGTTGTTTAATACCGCTTATAGTAGATATACTTAAGTTTTTAATAAGTAGTATTAATTCATATGACAATTAAGTTAAAATTGTCATATTAATTAATACTCCTTTGAAAAATCTTTGAAAACCATTATATTGCTTTATATTGAATAAGAACATTTTATAACTCTAATTGGGTGGTGCTAAGAGACAATGATAACATAATATTTAATAGAAAATTAATGCTATACAATTATAACATTTATCCAATGAAAGGTTAAATGCTAGGCCCCTTCATAAATAACTAATGAGATGAAATTTTATTTTTACAGGCTACCGTGCATAAAAAAGCCGGCGGTCAAGCTCAGAAACCAGTACACTACGGATACCCCAAACAACAACAAGAAGAAGACGATTCAAGAGAATACTAGTCCCATTATCCACTCTTAGAATAGTCGTTGTTGAATATTTATTGTTGAATGTTCCTTTTTTACAAAATAATAAAGTAGTCTAGGAAACTATTTTACGTATTTATTAGAATGCTCATTCTGACCTTTTGGAAAGTAGACGAAAACGTAAAATTTTGGTTACTTAAACAGCTTTTTTATTAGTTCCGTTGGAAAAGGAAATACTATGGTGTGGGAATTATCTCCCGATATCATTTGTAATGACTGGAGGTATCGTAACTGAAACATAAGAGTTTATTGAATATACTCTACTGGTCCGCAAATTAATAATGAATCAATTTAAAATTGTGTGTAAAGAAAATTACCTGCATACAGAATGGGTTCTCGGCTAATATCGCAGATGCTTTTTGGAGACTCACAGTGGATTCTATTTCTGCTTTAGCTACGATTATTTTTGCGTTCGCTAGTCGGGACGATTCTGCCTCAGCTGCCATTGCTTTTTGAAGTTGAATTGGCAGCCTAATATCTTTGCTGCAATTATTTTTCGATTTCCAATTCAGTTATTGACTACTATTTCTATTCAATTTCTACACTAGTTTACTATTCAATTTCTACACTAGTTTTTTAATTTTATTATACTTGTACAAAGGAAGGGTTCATAATATTTCGAAGTATCGTAATATATCCTTAATATTATAAAGAGGAAAGATTTGACTGTTTGTTTGCATAGAATAGGCCCCGAAACTATTGGACTGATCTTAAAAAATCTTTCACCTACAGGCAGCTACATCATATGCGGTTGACATAAGTTATAATTTACAAATATGAAGTCGCGAGAAAACAGTAGTCAATCAATGAAAATTGTTGTTTCATAGTTTACGTACATATCAACTCGTAGAACCTGAATACCCCATCTGTTAGTGAATTTGTTCATCTGTATCAATATCTGTTTGTTCATAGCTGGCTTGTCTTTTAATAATTCTACTAACTTTTTATTCCCTATTGCGTTTCGAAGTGTCGTAGCAGCTAATAGTTGAGTCGATGACCTGAGTAACAATTAATATTTCATGACATGTACTCATACTTGAGTCTTTATAGAGGAAGAGAAGCAATAAGATTAAATAGCTAAAGTGTACATATTACAATCTGTTCCACTGTTACAAGTTTTTGATCTGTGGTTAATAGTTGTTATTCCTACTAAATTTCAAGATAAATATTTCAGTTAATTATATTACAGTCTTTGCTGTGTGTGACTCTTGGTTAAAAAAAAGATTTTAATGCTACAGTTAAATCATTTACATTTATATACATTACAATTATACTATTTTCTTTATTTGCGATTCCTCATAATCACATATGATATACGTTCATGATTGGTACTGACAGACTAAAGTTCTTACTTGTAATCAGCAACATGCATAACTGCAGATATGGGAGCGTGCACTTTATAATAGACTACAGCATCTACTGATACTGTCAGAGAATCTTTGGTTAATGCCTGAAATAAGAATATGACGAGTTTCAAGTAAATTTGGCTGTTGTGTTACTGTGTTAAGTTTTTAATCATCATCAGCCCTTTTACGTCCTTACTACAGGGGTTCAGGTCTTCGTTATGGATGGCTAAGAAGGATGGGCCATGACCCTCCACACTGGCCCAATCCGAATTGGAGGGTATTAACTTCCGGGAACTACGGCTTAACGTGCCTTCTGAAGTATGAAGTAGCTTGAGATAATATTTTTGTTTGCACCGTTTTTGGTTGTCCTTAACAACGACGATCGCGGGCCGCGAGAATTATCCACTACTCCATCGGGTTACTCAAGCTTTTAATATTCTGACGAAAATATCTGTTCTATTTGTTATTAATTGAAAACTTCTTACCTCTTGAGGTGGCACGCAGTAGCAATGTATTCTGAGGTCAATACTTTTAACATCATCGACGCATGGTAAACGCGTGACAAGTCCAGGACCATAAGCGCGATAGTTGCGTATTTTTCCATTACGAAGTATAATTACTCTTTCGAATTGGTGTACGGTCTGGAATTTTTTTAGGGATTTCTTCGTTTATTTTACTTTGTTTACATAAAAGTCACCAAGATGCTTTGCGAATTAGGTTAATAAGTAGTATACTTATAGTTTCCAATACTCTTACAAACTAAACTAGCCGATTCTGAGAGCTTCGAATTTGACGCCTCCTTTTGGAAAACGTAAAGTCTAATTATAATTAATCTCAATCTTATTTTCGTGATTTCAACGTGTATTAGAAACAAATCCGCTGTCGAGGTTTGTGCTTATTTTATTTCAATTATACACATTTACTAGTTGAACTGGGTAGATTGTCGATACTTGAAACAAAACTATTCATAATTAGTAATAATTAATCTTACCACATATAAAGAAAATAAAGATAACGGAAAAGTTAATATTGCCAAGAGTATGGAGAAGAATACTAATAATTTCTCGATCCCATTTTGTTCCCCTGTAAATTATAAATAATTATATAATTAATGTGGTGTAAATAGTAAATAGCTCGGTGAGTGGCTAAGCGCTAAAAGGGCTGACAATGGTGGCGTAAATCAATAGAGTTGGTAAAGCAGTTTACTTGCGTTTATAAATATGTGTAACGGGATTTTCGTTGAGGTTTCCGGTTTCTACTTGGGTCTTGGTGATTAAATCATCTAGCCCTTCTTTTGATTTTCTTTCATCCAGATATTCCTTTTCTTGCATTTTTTGCATATAAATGAGTTGGTATCTTATCGAGATATTTCTTGTAATTCTAAATGATAAGAAAGGATGTGTCCAATTATTGTAAAAAAAAGTTACAAATATAAATAGATAGGCACTATATAAAGTGCTTCAATTTTGTGATAGTTAAGAAATTAGGTCAAAAGGAAAATAAATTTGGACTAGGTCTACAACAAAGAGCAATTTTCTCTATGGTATTTTCTTGCATCATAAATATTAAAGAGGATTTAAGCTACATCAAATTATCTTTAAAAACTACAGATAAAATTATTATGTTTCACGTAACGAACACAATGTAATGTTTTGTGCATTGACTACACATCTTTTCTATATTCAGTATTTTGTCATTATTACTAATTTTATCTCTTAATTAAAAGATAGATTTTTGTTGTACACGATCAAAGTTGAATTTTTCACCCTAGGTTTAATGCTATTTGTTGACTACCCATATAAAATAAACACAAAATATGAACATAGTTTTACTTTTATTATGATGACTATGAAATTCTTCAATGATACTAGATCGAATTTTGGATCTAATTAGGTCTAAAAAATCAACCTATGAGGAATAGTTATGTAACTTACAATTGAGGCCGTTAGTAATTTATTGAGTTATAAATAAATAGTAATTTATAAGTACGAATAAAAAAAATTGTGGGTTAGGCCACTTTTGCGCAGGCGGCTTGACGGCCTCAATTGTATCAGATGTTTAAGGATGAATAAGGAATTTGTTTAGTTTTTTATTCTGATATTAAATTAATATGTATTATTAAATTACTTGAAGTAATATCGTTAGAGATGTCTGAACTACTTATAGGCACTGGGCTTTGGAGGTTCCGGTAGATCGAGTGGGAATGGAAAGAAAATCGAAGTTTGTTGCTGTGAAGCGATGTAGTTTAGAGTTTGTAGATATCTCAACTGAAAGAAAATACATCATTATTATTATCATAAAAGCATGTCAATGTCTTCATTATTAGGCATAGAAGACCCACTCTGTTGTCTATCTCTTCGTGAAATGATAGTTCCTCTAATTTGGATACGCTAATATGACTCCAAAGAAGCCCTTTTTTCGACAATTTATAATGCAACGGAGGAAGAAACTTCTTATGCTCAGATAAATTATTTGATTTGATTTGATATGATAATCTTCACGTTTATAATTTTATCAAACTAAAATACACGACTGCTAAAATCGAACTATATTCTCACTGCAGTCGGTTTTGTGGAACATTTGTAATCTGAGAGGTTCCTCGGCTGCAATAAAAAATTAGCCAAACCATAAGACGCTTTGTTTCTTTTATATGAATTGAGTTCGAATTTAGCAGTCACGTTTTTAATTTTTGAACTATTTTTCACAATTCAATAAATGGAGTCATAGATCCGCTGTATTGAATATTGAAAAAAAGTATCAATTGGGACGATGTAACATATTTAATGATATGCGTTTAGTCTTTCTAAAGTAATCGTGGAATAAAAAAACTCACTCACACACCCTGAACAAAATACACTCCTTTTTTTGGGTAGTCCTGTAAAAACTAAAAGAACGTTTCAAATTTTTCCATATATTTCGTAAGCTTCTGTAGATAAACCGAAACGGCCCTTTGACTTTTATCTAAAGATAGAATTACTGCGAAAAACGGGACATAATGCGGGCTTAGCGCTAGATTGGTGCTGAAATCTAATAAAAATCAATATGGTGTGCTGGAATCAAGGTATCGTCAAATCTTAGGTTTCGGGTTTGATTCCTAGTCAGGTTAATGAAGAACGTTTCGGTTTGAGAATCTTTATTTGCTAATTATTTAGAATCTGGGCAATGTATGTGATTTGTTTTTATTTCTGAACCTACCTGTATATAACAGAGTATTTTATATATAAAAGTTTTTAAACTAAGACATTTAGTAACTCCTACAATGATTACTATCCTACAATGTGGTATGGGCAGCAATTCTCAGAATGAGACAGTTTTAAAAATAACGTTGATTGAAAATTCACTAATAATAGAACTTATTTCAAAGGGAATTGTCTGTATTACTAACGAGTAAGATTTGAGGATTATCCGCCATTATGCGAGAAGCTTCTCGAAGATTTTCCGCCGCTTTTATTTCTCCTTCCGCTTCTATTATCTTCGCTTTTGCTATACGAGTACCTTCTGCTTCGGCTGCCATTGCTTTTTGAAGTTCAAAAGGTAATATGACATCTTTTCTAAAAGACACAATATCAAAAATTTTATCTGTGAATATAACATTTTATTATAAAATAGACTATTTAAGTAGTTTAATATTGTGAGTAAATATTTTTTAGGTTGCAAGTGTATTTAATTCAATCTAAAACAAATAGTTTTTAATATTTAAGTAATTCGTGAAAAAAGATGAAATGCTACCGTAAAACAGCAAAATATTTTTTCTAAAAGGAGTTTAATAGTGAATATTTAGAAATGGAACTAGAAACTGTATAGGAAACTTTCTACAGTTTCGTCTGCGAGTTTTTACAAATAGCGTGAAGCTATATGCTCCGGGAATAAATGTCAATGCTTCAAGCAGTTGTTTGGGTCCCAAAGTTATGGCGTCCAATCTCTACTCGGTATAATAATTTTCCAAAGCTATTTTACTACTTTATTTAAATAAAATGTCTAGTTTACATTTCAATTCTTTCCGTTTCTACGCCCCACTCATTAGTCACTTGGTCTATTTCTTCTCTCGCTGTTTGACTGATGTTCATGCGATGTGACAGTAATTCTGTCAGAGTATACTGTCCCATAATATTTCTTAAAATCGAAACTGCTATAAGTTCTGTAGCATTTCTAAGACATACAATTATTAACTTATAAGAGGTGATTAAATCAGAAAGATAGTAAGGTAGTAAGATATCCATATTTACGTAAAGTATTCCACGTTGAGGATGCAGAGTAAAGGTTTGAAAACGTGGAAATAAACCACTGCATCTACAATAACTGTTACGGAATCTTTCGTAAGTATCTGAAATGAGTATTGCGTTGAAAAATTGTAGAATATCAATAGAATTATAATAATAAACAAATTAATTACTTCCTGTTCTGGCAAATTAAATGATCGTGTTCTTAGGTCAATATACACGATACTGTCGATGCAAGGCACAACCCAGATGATGCCAGGACCAGCGGGACAATCCTTTCTAACTCTGCCAAACCGAAATATTACAGCGCGTTTGTATTGCTTCACGACCTTGAATTTAGAAATTTTAATATAACTATTTACTGTCACTTTGTAGTGAGGAAACATTTACAACAAAACATGTGTGATTTATTTAATCTCCACAGTACGGATCTTTAAATACTTTAAGGTTTGTGTAAATCTGACAGACAATCCGTCGAGTGGAACAACAGGAGTATACGCACACTCAATGGACTGATGCAAGGAAGAATTAAACATTATAGACTGACAGATCGTCTATTAAAGGTGCGAGACTATTATCAGCCTATTAATTTTCCCATTGCTGGAGCACAGGTCTACCCAATAGATGGAATCGGAAAAGGCAAGGTTGAATGTCATATCGTTAGAATGGTAAGTTTTGCAATGAATTTTCTGTCAGATATACACTGACCCTTATTGAAAATAATATTTTAACTTATTTAGCTCCAATTTGAGATTTTTTCAAGTATAAGAGTTAAATATTCAAGATCCTTATATAGAAGTAACAGCGTTTATAAGGTATTATTTGAATATTAAAGATTGAATATGTAAATATGTCTTTAAGTTCCGATATAATTTTTTTCTTTACCCACCTGAAAACAGAATATCAAAGTTAATGGGAATAGAATAATGAAGAGTGTTGCTAGGAATCGAAACAATTTCTCTTTTTTACTTTCATTTGTGAAGTCTGTAAAATATAAATAGTTAAATCAGTATCAAAATAGTACCTCCTTCTACAAAATATGTTTGTGTAATGCATTTAAATCTAATGAATACCAGATAGAGCTATAGCAGATCCACGTTCTTCCATATTTAAGTAACAAACGTACTCGTAGCCATGTGTACAAAATTTGTGTAATTTTATTCAGCATTAAATTCGTGCAAATCTTTGATTATATACTTGTCGTAATTATGAAAATATGGAAGTAGAAAAACTTTAAACTAATTCGTAAACAAAAAGAAGTAGTAGGCATGGAAAAGCATGGAAAAATAATTTAGTTTTCATTAAACACTCAGTAAAAGTAAAGAAAGTAAAATAATATTTATAATATTAAGTCACATTATATTTGACATTTATCATACAATCAAAGAGTAAATGCAAGAAATAAATCTTCCTCAGAACAGAAAATCTAGGACTAAGAATATATATCAGTCCACATTCAATATTATTGGTTCATACCAAGAAGTTTTCTTATTTTTACAATATTCAAGTTTCTGGGCTCATACCTGAGAATAATGCTCATATAATTAGATTTAACTATTATACTATTTAGGATAGTCCTAGGAAATCCTAGCTCTATCACTCGCCGACGACAATCTTCTACCGGGTATAGGTTTTACAAATGCCTGCAATACTCATATATAATAAAGTTTTAATTATATATTCTAAGATGCAAGTATTTTCATAAAAAAATGTAACTTATTTAGTTTCTCCTATAAAAACAGGGCTAGAGCGTGATTTAAGAGCAAACAACATATTCGGTTGAAATACAGTACTTGGTTATTAAATAAAAATAATATTCATTTTTTACTTATATTACTATTTGTACATACTTACCTATATTGATTATATTACAATTTTCAAATTATTTCGATATTTATAATTAAACTTGATATCTATACTTAAGGTACATACTATAATGGTAGAGTATGTGAACCACTCGGACCTGGACTTAGAAATGTTTTCAGGAAATCCATGGGGAACGGAAATATTATTGTGGAATTTTTCTCAGCGGATATTGTGTTGAGAGACTGGAGATATCGCAGCTGAAAATATGACAAAAACAATACAAACGATTCAATGTTTATAGTTAGACCACAATCTCTTAGTGTGTATTTAGATCTAATTAAATTGTTGTTTCTGAATTGACAAAACATAAAATCTCAACTGATAATTCTCAATAACTTAATTTTTTTACGTTTTACAAATCAAAAAGTCCTTGTTTTACAAAACCGCTATCAACTGATCATTAAAAACGAATAAATTTAAGTGATGTTTAAATACAATTTGAGATGTTCTTAACTTTGAATTCTGAATTCAGAAACCGGGTGTAAGTAAGCTTCTATTGTACTTAGTATTAGATAAAAATTCATGTAATCTACTACCTTCTGAAATATTACTCCCGTCTAATTATAATACTAATTTAAACATTGCTTAGTCTCTTCTTAATAATTAGAATTTTGAATAATACTAAGCGCAATCTTATCGTAAATTTACTTCAATTCTAAACTTTTTATTGATTTTATCAATAATAGGTAACAGTACGGTTTTTTATTATGAAACATTTTGGTTTATTTCAAAAAATTTTTTTTGTTATATTTTAATTTAGTCAAAGTTTATGAGTCAAAACTATTGATAAATTATGTTAATAATAAAACAAGAACATTATAAAATATGATGAACATATTCATTGATACAACATTTACATCCATTTTCACTTACCTAGAACAAGGCATAGTTTAACTAAGAAACACCTAATATTACGTATCGCCTAAGCAGATTAGTTAAATATCAATTTTTTTTATCCCTTGACATATTTATGACTTGTCATTTACGCAAATGCGCAAGGCGCCGCATAATGAATAAAATAACGTTAAATACCTAACCTAAAACTTCGTTAGGTGGTTCCTATTCAATGGTAAAATGCATTTTTACCTTAGGCGATTCTTAAATATTTAGATGTCAGATTAGGGCGACTCCTTAGTTTAGTGAAAACGGATATAAAACTGTTTTATGACTAAGGCTAGATTTATAATGAGAGAGTTAAGCGGGCTTGTGCATTAGCAATTTGAAGGTACAGATTGCTTTACATGTTGGTTTAAAATATGAGGACCTGTTTAATGAAAGAGAATGAAGTTATAGAACGCTAGTAAATATGTAAACTGAAAAAGCATTAAATTGAAACCCAGAGTAGTAACTTAAAAACATAAACGGTGAAAATAAATAAGCATGTCCTTAATTGCTGCTAGCATAGGTATTTCTTAACTTTGATTGTAGGTTGTAAAAAGCGATCTGTTACGATAAAAAAACGTGAAAAATATATGATATTTACCTGCAAAGCCATTGGGTTGTCGACCATAACCAACGACGCCTCTCTTAAAGCTTTGGAAGCCTTTATCTCCCCTTCCGCGGCTATGATCTTGGCTCGAGCCTCGCGGTCAGCTTCGGCCTCGGCTGCCATCGCTCGCTGAAGCTGTACTGGTAGGCGGACATCTTTGCTAGAAGAAATTTCATGTATACTAATATTATAAACAGGAACCACTTGTTTTGTTTGCATTAATAGGCTCAAAAACTATATGACAATAATTCCTAACTAGGAATCGGAACATCGGAATATTTTAAATATTGTTGCCCCTCTGTCTTGTGGATTCTATGTTTATACGAGGAGTTTTGAAATTGTGTTATTTTAAAATTATAAATAATTTTAAACAATGAAAAGAATAGCCTTAAACCATTATTTTAGGTAATGGGTCGTTTTCTTCCTAACCCTGTACTTTAAAAATCAAAATTGTATATATCTAGGAATGTTACGTCGTCTGTAGTGCTCTAACTTACATATTTATAATATCACAGAGTAGGATAGAGCATGATGAAGTTGACAATATGTCGTATATTCATTTTAGGAGTGGTTTCTTTTTAGCTGTGCAGAAACAGCTAGAAAACCTGTATTGCAGGAATAAGAATATTAAAAGACTAATATGATGATGCATTTATTTTACCCAAAATGTTGCTTACATCTCCACTCTTTCTACTTCCACTCCCCATGGGTCAGTGGCTTCATCCAAGTTGGCTTGCATCATGTGACTAATTGCCTCTCGATCGGAGAGAAGTTGTGCTAAATCACGCATCCCTAAAACGTTGCGGAGTGTTGTTGCCGCCAGCAGTCTTGTTGATGCACTGGCAAGAAAGGATTTCGTTAATAAGGATGGCGACCACTTTTTTTTTATTTGTCCATCAGGTAGATTGTTGAAAAATATGAAACACGTATTTTTTTTATTTTTTTCGTAAGCATTAAATTATGGCGATACGTTGAGTTAAAATGTCGCATGACGTCACGCTGTGGTACATTTTCTACAAAACTGTGACTTAGCAAGCCTCAACTTTAATACATGTTGTCTAGGCTATTTCTTGTTGAATTGAAGTATAAAAAGTACGTATTTAATATTTTTCTATTATGCGACTGACGTACTAAATTGATTTTTTTTTACCCAGTCGTCAACCCTGTTGTATAATTATAGGTTTTATTTTATTTTAATTGTGTAATAATTTTCTGAAAACCTGTCATACGATATGTTTGATGGCCTAATTGGGAGAGTAGTCAGGCGGAATTAGAAATGTAGTGGTTTCGATTTATATATGTTGAACTTTTTTATAGTACTAGCTTTCCGCATTTACATTTTATATAGTACTAACTTTCCGCCAGCGGCTTCGCTCGCGCGGTCTTGTATTAAACATAAAAACTTTCTGTTTGAATCATCCTATCTATGAAGAAATAAAATCCATCATCAATATCCTTTAATTTAAGCATACACAGGGATATAGGGACAGAGAAAGCGACTTTGTTTTATACTATGTAGTGATGTAGTACATAAATTATAAAGTATACTATAGAATTATACAAATAACCATTTAATTCATTCAAAACAAATACAGATGCATCCAATCAAACATAACGGAACTCTGTAAGGATATCAAGTGTTTGGTGATTTGGAACAATCAGATGCAATCTTCATTATAATTTATTTTCGTAAATGCATATTTCATTGTTTGTAGTATGACTAAATGTAAGCAGATGCCTTGAACAAATTTAAGCAACGTTTTTGCTTGTTATACAAGAGTTTTATTTTTACATTCGTTAAGCGAAATAATGTGTACATTAACAAAGCCTAAGTGAATAATAAATACACTTACGCTTTGTTAATGTACACATTAATCACAATAATCACAGCAACAATTTTTTGCCGCTCGGTATTCCTGAACTTCAGGATTTTTTTCTGGTTGGGCAAATGTACAAAAATATTTTTTCTATGTGGTTCATTTACACTGGTCGACGAGGCCTGCACGCAGAACGCGGGAAGCCTCTGCAGGCTCATTTCATTGGTCAATAAAACAATGATTAATGACAGCGAGTCAAAGAAATCTCCCGCATGTCGCAAGCAGCTTGGATTAGGTGTTGAGCAAACTATGATTTATCTTTTATGATCTTGTCCATGTTATTTCTAAAATTGTCGTACCTGTAATCAGCTACTCTAACAACAGCGTTGAGCGGTTCTTTTATTCTGTAGTAGACAACTGCATCTACGGCTACGGTTACAGAGTCTCTGGTTAACACCTGGAAATACCAATTATACAATAAAAGATATCAAATATGTGGAAAAAATCTTAAATATGGTTTTCGATATTTTAGTAATATCGACTGTTCCCCGTTCGGCTTAATGTTTTCACAGAAAATAAATAAGTTTTGTCTTATTTTGAAAAAGTGGGCTTTACCCCTGATGTGATGTGTATTAAATAAAGTCATTGCGCATCAGAATAAAGAACAAAATAATTAAATCAGTAGGTAATTACTTTAGAAATTGTAGTAAATGACTTTTTGAGTTTGAAACATATTTCGAACTTATATTACAATATTGATTTACTTTGAAACTATTACTGTTCGTATAATGGGTAACATTTTACCATTGATACTTTATTGCTTTTCGCAATTTGCATTCGGCTCTTTTGCGTATTCATAGATTAATAATAGGTTAGAGAAAAGTTTTTTGCATTTTATATAAAATTTCAAAAGATATTTAATGATGTTTATTTAGAGTTAACTAAAGTAGGCAGGAACCATTTTGTTCGATAATTTAACGCCATCTTGTAGGTAGGGCCATGATCCCATTGCTATGTAAAATTATGGAGTGTCAATAAAGTGATCAAGTGAAAAGTGACAATCAGACAAGTGATGTCCTCGTGTGATGTTAAAACCTGTCATTGCCTAAAAAATTCTGATGAGTCCGAAACAGGTGAAATTCTGAAGATCAGGAATGTACGGCGTATGCATAAACACTTCATAGCTAAACTCTCTTAATTTTTGCTGAGTGGCAAGAGTTTTGTGAGGTCTAGCGTTATCATAATGAAAAACCACACTCATACATTCTATTGATTAATTCTGCTTTCTCTCAACTTCATGCTTTAATCTCATCAGTTGTTCGTAGTAGAGTTGAGAATCGATGGTCTTATTTGGCGGTAACAGCTCATAATGAATAATGCTCTTCTAATTCAACTATACACACAGGATCACCTTGTTGCGAGTTAACCCGGATTTCTCCACAGTCTGTGAATCCTGACCGACTTTTGACTAAGACCTTTTTCGCATGTTCTTGTCATACGTGATCCACTTTTCATCATCAGATATCAGCTTCTTCAAAATTGGTTCAGTTTCATTACGCGGTGATAAAGGATTAGTTCATCAGGTTTCTTTTAGTGAGCTCGTGAGGTACCCAAATATCCAACTTCTTTGTGTACCCAGCTTATTTCAGATTCGCCAGAACTGTTTTTTAGTCAATCCCCAGTTTTTCAGCTACGTCATAACTATTTATTTAATCCATAACAGGGCGACCGGAGCGACATGCACCTTTTACATCAAAATTTCCGAACTGAAAATGCTTAAACCAAATTTGTGCTATTCTCTTAGAAACTGCACTAGGTCCATAAACGCCACAAATTTTTTCGCGTCATTTCTTTTTTCATTTTTGTAAATTTTATTACAAAAAGGAGAAAAAAGACATCAAAGATTTTGGAAGTAACAAAAAAATAAGGTCATACATTTTCCTAATTTGAATTCTCTTTTTAATGATACCGATACCAGCCAGATTCAAAAGATTTTATTAAAATTTATGCATTCTATATGCGAAAACACTTTATCCTTAACGTAATATAATCAGAGTCTATACTAATATTATATAGAGGTAACTTTATTCGTTTGAAGGGGATAATTTACCAAAATACTGATCCGATCATAAAATTCTTTCACTCATGCGAAGCTACATCATAAGCGGGTGCTATAAACAATCATTTATGCAGGCGATGTCACGGGAACGGTAAGTTTTAGATACAGTCAACTCAGTAAATATTTTAACTTGTGTTATAAATATCGATTATGCTTAGACTTTTGCTTAGAGTTTGTTACAATAATATGGTACAATTATGTTAGTCGATGAGTGACCTAAAGTCAGTCGTATAAAGTAAATAAACGAATTTGAAACATGACTACCTCTTTTAGAGCGTAATTAAAAAACGTTTTCGGTAACTATGTTGTCTGATATATTAATTAAAGGACATATTGTGAGAATCACAAATATGTATTTGGAATAAATAGTTTTCAAGTCATTACAGAAAATAGATGAAAATTCACGTCACCCTGATATACGAAAATACTAGAACAAAAACTTTTTCTAGAAAAAAAATACAGAAAGAAGTTTTTAATTTATAGATTAAAGGTTTTATTATTTAACATGAGAGTGAAATCAACAAGCTTTTGCATTTATAAATATAACGCTTGTTTCACTATTATTTAATTCTTCCGGTTGATATTTATTTGTTTGCATTGCACGTACTGTGTTATTGGCACAAATAAAGTAATGGAAAAGAGAATCACATCACGATTTAAAAAGCATGACCGTTTTATAATCGTTTCTAGAGCTACTAATGAGTTGTTTCACCTTTACTATATAGTACTGACGTACTATTCGTACGAATTAAAGTGACACCTGAAGGCTTATTCTATATGGTTTCCAACGAAAAATAGGGAAATCAGGAAGATAATTAGGAATGGAGGTATCCAATACATCTTAAATTATCGAAAAATGCATTGTTTTAGAGTCGTATTTTTTCAATTAGTCATAGCATTTCGAAAATAGACCAAATTTCGTTTTCGCAGATATAGAACAGGTCTTCAGGTGTCATGTTAATTCGTACGAGTGGTAGTTAATATTTGTTAATGAATAAAAAGTTTTTGATCCCCTATCAAAAACTTTTATCGTAATTTAACCTCATTTACAATAAATATTTATTATATATATACCTCCTGGCACATTCTAACGGAAATAATTCCTAACATACGGGAAAACATCCAGAAATCCAGGTCAGTTCTGCAAATCGTTTGCTTTCGGCCTTCAGGGACCGACATCTCAAAACAAACGTCTCCTCTACACGATTATAGATCAAACTGATATGTTTACAAATAAATCTAACACTTACATAATTCAATTATCAACGAAAGAAATGTTGATTTATGATTGTAATAACATACTTACTTATAAGTCAAAAAGGAAATGAATTTCAGTACCAACATATATGCGTGTTCTATAAACAATAAAATAATAAAAATCAAGTAAGTACCTAAGTGTAATGAATTGACAAATCGATGTTCTTCGGCTATTTTAAAAATGCCTAAGGCACTTTCGAGTATTTACGAAAAAAAGTTAGATCGCTATCGAACATATAACCTTCTTTTCTCGATTTTAAAGTCGGTGAAAAACAGGGAATTTCCGAATTGCCAAGAACGTAATATATTCATTTTTATAAACAAATCATAACATAACATTATAATACCAGTTTGATAAATGGGAGTAGACTGCATAAATTGTCTATAATACAATATAAATATAATAAATTTTAGAATTTCCCTGTTTCCATAATAACCCCATGAAGCTTATTATTATTTGTATTTTTAAACCTGATTTTAATTTAGAAAATAGCGTAGAAATAGATAACAGAATTTAAGACCAGAAACAGTAATTTAAGTTAAAGTGGCGAAAAAGTAGTATCATTTTATGATAATTTGTATTGATGTAACTATTTTTGATATTGTTACTAGGTCGAAAGATTTAGACAATAGGTTTATGAGGTCCGACTATTTAACTAGTCGTTAAACTTGAATGATGAGTCGTAGCCACATCAATCAACCGCTGCACGGAATGGCATATAACTGGGTATCCTACTTCAGTAGGGTTGCCATCAAAAAATGTAAAAATAAAACTTCGTCCGAAGAGTTTTAATGCGATATAGCTTACAGTTATTTTCCATGTTAAAAAGATAATACATAATAAAAAATGGGACCACACAATTACGACGTAAAATTAGGATAAACAAACATACATATCCAATCATATTTAATAATATATTAATATGAATATACACAAATCTCGCGAATTTTATGGGAGTACCTTGGTACTATATCATACAATTTATAAAAAATCATTAAATATTTAATAGAATCAGGCGTTATTTTGCGGAAGTCCATTGCTATAACCGTGAAACTATGATATTTAGCAACTTACACACCCAGTGCAGGCGGTACACAGCAGGGTGTGAAAGTGCTATTTATCATTATTTTACGGTTATAATCAGTAAGCTTACTAATTGACCAATAAAATATTGAATATTACGCATACAATTGTGATCAATAAGTTTAAAGTAACATTAAATTATACGAACCGCTAACAATAAAATGGTATCTGACAACCCTGAGTTTACTGTTTTCAATACAAATGTTATTACCGAGTGATTGGTGGTATTTTGTTGCAGCCACGTGGCCTTAGGTTTCTGTATTCTTGTATTTTTAGTTGTTTGTGGAATCTGAATGATTGTTTTTTGCTACTGATTCTTGTTAAACTTAATGCAGATCGTATTTACGTTTGATTTTGTTTGAACAGGAATTGATTGGAAAGCACTCATGCTCATAAATGTATTCATTTTAATCGGTTATTTAACTTAATATTAATATACAGTGAGACATAATACTTAGCTTTTTAATAATCCAGTGGTCAAAATATTAAGCTTTATTAGACGATAGTTTCTTATTCCAATATTTTCGTCTTATAAAGGTGCATTTAAACCAAACGAACAAAGAGCTAGGGCAAGAACAAAATAATTATTTCTTGTTCTTTTAGTGTTAATGAAAATTTGTTTAAAGTGTTTGCACCAAAAGAATACCAACGAGCAAGAATTCTCATTCATCTCGAACAAAGAACTAGAATTCTGTACAGGTTTAGATCAAACGAATACTCATGTCATGGATAGTAATATGTACTCAAATCACTAGAAGAACACAAGAACGTTGTGAAGAGACAGTTACGATGAGCGAGCATGTCCGAACACACTACGATGCTCTAAGCAACTGTTTGCACGCACCAGTGCCGTTTACACCAAGTGAACCAGCATTCTTAGAATGTTCCATAGAATCTTTGCAAACGCAGATAAAACAACGACCGAATGTTCTAAGAATATACATTCGGTCGTTTGGTGTAAATCGGCCTTAAAACGAATGAACTTCAGTATCACATTTATACCATTACCCGACCAAATTTAGTGAATACGTCTCAATTTGACGTTTTCTATTTTATCATTATTAATTTTCTTTGCTCGGAGATTGGTTTAAACCTAGTACTAACTAATGTTCTTGTTTAATAAAAAGATGGTTTAATTTTTAACTACAAACATATACATTTGTTCTTCTTTCGGTATTATTAGTTGCTGATCAAATTTTATGTCATAGAATTGCTTACCTCTTGTGGTGGTACATCGAAAGAAACCGTTCTGAGGTCGACTTTCCTATAAGTATCGATGCAAGGCAGGACGAAGAATAAGCCTGGACCTCGGGCACCTCCCTTGCGAAGTCTTCCGAGTCGAAATATTACAGCACGTTCGAATTCTTGAACTACCTGTAAGATAATGTATGAATTAAAAAAATATGGAGCATCTGAAAGGTTCTCATATTCTATTTACATATGACGTCACTTGGGTGTGATTTGGACAAGGTTCCAGCGCATAAGCAATTTACGGGACTTATACTAAATGTCGTTATTTGAATTGTATTTCTTTTTCAGATTATCGGAATCAATTTAAGAAGTAAAAATTTATTTTTTGGAATACTTTTTCTATTTATCAGTATATTTCTTAATTCTGTTAACCATAAGTCTATTATATAGAACATCTCGTTATAAATAATAAAAAAGAAATAAAATAGATGGTACGCAATTTTAGTACCAAACGATTTTATCAGGGGTAAGCTTTATCTGGCTTTATCCAATACAACCAAGGAGCAAGGTCCATGCAGCCAAAATATTGCATAAAAATTATTCAATTTACATATGGTTTAATATCTTAGCTGCTTATTATTTTTCATACATTAAGACTTAGTAATCTACATTTAGGAGTAAGTTTGAATTTTTGAGTCCTTTGAAATTTCATGTATCATATGGTTTAGAGAGAAACTTAGTAAAAATACTTAGATTAGATAAGATAACATAAGATCTTTATTTGTTAGAATACAAATTAATATTGTCACAAAATTAAAGAATGAAATAGGTACTGTATTCTACCTGAGAACAGGCGTGCAAATATTTTAGTTGTAATATTATTCTATTACATCATGCAATTTTCCTAAAAGATAAAAATTCTTTTACACTATAGAAGCTGCCATAAGCCACTTTGTCAGTTTTAATTTAAAAGTCATTCATATTCAGAAATTCCAAGTCATCTTGTAAATTATTGTATAAAGTCATGCACACATTGTATACATTATTTTTATGAATGTCCTTATGACAAGGAGGCTGGTCCAATAAATTTATATATTTTTGTCTAGTTTACCGGGGCATAATTTCTACACGTTTGGAATAGTATTTGGAGTTGGAGTTAACAAATAAACATTTGTTACATACCTTAAAACACTCGAACAATGAAAATGGGAAAGTGATGATGACCAATAGAAAAGAAAGAAAAGTTGCGAATCTCTCTACGCAGCTAGCCGCTTCAGGATTGGCTGTTAATAAACAAAAATAACGATATATTAAAGCTTTTTATAACGCCAGGTTAAAGTAGATTTTCTAATATTTTAAAATTTTTAACAGCGCATTGATAATTTTATTTTTTTCTCTATGAGTTTGTTATTATCATTGATAGATAAACCAAAGTTTACCAAAATGGCGACAGTATACCTATTTTATATTATTTAAAAAAACCGACATTTAGTATATGTATATAGATTAGACACTTATTTAAAAAATAGTTTGCAAGAATAACCTAGTTATACGTATACTTACGCATTTGTATTGTGATAGCACAAGACGTACCCGTATCATTGTCTAAAATATTTAAACAAAAAAAATTATCGGTTTGCCTTCTTTATAAATGCATTGATTTAAGTGAGATGTTACTCACGGCTCGACACGTTGTCTCGTCTAGTACTAGTACTTATAGTTCGTAATTCGGTTGCCATAATCACGTGATCTGTCTATTTAAACACTGAAACGAACTTCCCGCCAACCAACAATCGCAGCGTCTGCTGTCATACCGACTAACTTACTGACAGAAGAGCACATCTGTTTACGCGCGACCCAAAAAGAAGAGCCAACTAAAAATATCAATTACAATGGCATGTACCTAAATAATCTGAAATGTGATAAATGGAGGAGGTGCGAAAAGGTATTTACGTATTTCGAGGTAGCATTCCACTTCACCAGAATCCTTGTCATGCCAACCGAACTCCATGGGCACGAGCCCTGTCAGGCGACGCATTTAGTTTAAAAATTGTTAAATAGTGTCTCCGACGCGATGTGAAAATATGTACTAAAGTACGAAAGTTCACGTTGGTTAAAATATGAATATGGAACGCACTTTCTGCCATGCCGGGCGGCGGCGCGGCTGTGCTTCACGCCGCAGCACTCCAGATTGCGATGTTATGTTGTTTCGGAAATGGCTGTACATCCCAAGCTTATAGCAAGATGTTTGGATAACCACTTTAAACTGATAGGTTTGTTTAACTATGGATATTTTTGGAGTATCCAACATTATGGTTAGCTAATGGCACAATGATGTTGTTATTAAAAAGATCTCTAGCATTTATTGAGTCGCTTCATAAGCTTTTATTTAACTTGTGTTGAGTGTAGGTATGTAGAGTCAAATGGAGTATGGAATACTTTTTGTTTGAATCTCTATAAAATGGGAAACATCAAAACAATTTAAAGATATGTGAGCTGGATTGATAGAGTATTTATAACACACTGAGTCTTATGTAATTATTGTATAAATAAAAAAAAACTGCTGGCTCTGCGTATGCTCTTTGAATATATATGCAAATGAATTTTTAACACAATTTTTTTCAGATTAAGCTAAAATTTTGCATACAGGTTTAGTTCAACTTAACTAAACCAACTGACTATGCGTGGTAATATGAGCCTAGTTATATCAAATGAAACAGTTTCTAAAGAAGAAAACTATGAATTATGTCATTCTAAATCGAATACGAAGGACCACCCAAGAGCGTGGATTAAAAAAAAAAAATGTTCACTTGTAAAAAATTCGTTAAACGTTTCTTACATGACATGCAAATTAACAGTAATGCAAATTATGTAATTAGTTTTTAACTATTTCAATAACATTCTCATAATTATATGGAGCATTACAATCGTTTTTTTGTTTTATCATATAAATATTTTAAAATTAAACATGCAAAGTAAGTAAACAGAGGACAAGAATAGAAAATTCCACTTATGAACAAAATTCAGTGAAAACAGAAATCCCAGATCAGTTAATGTTGCCTAATAAATCTGTAAAACAGGTCATCCTGTCCATTCGTATCGACATCTTTGATCTCAAACGTCCCTGGTTAATGTGCGGTATTTTAGTCTATTGCTATAATATCAACAAAGATATCAGCCCTACTATACTGTGTTTATTTTGTTTGTTCTATAACATCACCAAAAGTGGAGGCGCAAGGCCCTAATCAAACATGTGCCCTGCACATTTCCCGAGACGCTTTATTGAGCAGAAGCATTTTAGGAAGTATTAAAAACAATCAAAATTGTTATCTCGAGCTAATCTGTCGTTAAGCCGTTGGTACTGGCTGAATGGCACAAATTAAGATTACATATAAGAAATTAAAGGTAATCTTGCTGAATGACTTTAGTCGTTGAGCCAAGCCATGGTAAAACGGCGTTATATGACTTTGTCAACTGTTTAAAAACTTATGAGAAAAATCAAGGATTCACACCAATTGTGTGTTGTCTCATGAAAATAAGGTTTATGACTATAAATGAAGGGGTACTTAATTGTATTATTGTTAGATTTTCACATCGATTGGATGTAAGGAACATAACATAATCACACGTTTTTATTGTAAAATATTGAAGAATGGTATGTTAGCTTATTTTTTCTTTGATAATTGGTTGATTAAATATCGCAGTTCAAATTATATGAAATATTAATTAATGATCGAGAAAGAAATGTGTACAGATTATTTACATTAACTTTTCGAGATCGCTAGATACCAACATGGCCGCTTTTTGTAAACTATCACTCACTGACTCTCAATGTATCTAACACAGAACATAGAGAGAGGTATCTAAGTATAAATACTGCAAATTTTATTATTTAAATGTGGTTTTTATTTTTCACTAAAATCGATGACATGGTTCCTAATTAATAATAATTCTCATTTGTCTAACACCCGTATCTATAATCGAGTAAAAGGAATTATTCGAGTTAAAATAATTACTTAAGCAAATACCTTAAACAAATAAACAAGAAGTTTTAATATTTGTAAAAATATTTTTTTGGGCTGTTTGGGTGGATCGCCTGAACATTGATGAAAATATGCTTTGTAGTGCGAAAAAGTAAAAAGTGCTTGAAAGTCGTCAGTTTTATTAGGTCTTAAGTGCAGTCTCAGCGTAAATTTACTCCAACGTTAAACCTTGTTTATTAATAACACTGTCAGAGTTTCCCATACTGTATATAGACTATATTTAGACTCTTTTTAAACGGTTTTGCAGCTTATAACCTTGATATGAACATCAATTTCAATCTTATTATCAATTTTTTTTAAAGTATGCGTTTTAAAAACTATACTATACATATATAATATTTGAAAGTTACACATAAATAATGTCGATTTAATGATTTAACTATAATATAATCTGTTGATGAGGCAGGATGTTCAGTGATCTTTAAGACTAGTCCACCATTGACCTAGATTTACATTTATTAGTTTTCTGCTAGATGCAGCTATGAGTAGTTGTAGGACGGAGCGCTCTACTCATCGCAATTATCTATATATATGTGTAAACTTTATTCTAATTTTAATACTTTTATATATTTGGGGTCCCAAATATTTGGGGTATGAAAATAATAGAAGCACATTTCTTATGTATCATTAAGATAAATGCAATTAATGTATCATTAAGACGACGTAAATGTTACCCGAGGCGGAGAATAACTTTCATAGATTCCATAAAACTGGTGTTCAAATACGTTTTTAAATTTGATATTATTTCTAAAGTAAGTATACCACGCGGACGGCATTTTGGGCTAAAACTAGATTTGTATAAATCAAGCCGCATCGCACTTTATGGGGTGTCGAAAAAATAGAGTGTTTCGTCGAAACGTTTATAGCTTCCTATAAAACTTGTGTGGCATAATGTTCAATACATTTGTAGTTTAGTTGGTGTGTTGAGGCAATTAGATATTATTAGTCTACTGTAAGATACTGTAGTAAAATAGATATGACATTACCACTGGAAATGGGTAACTGTCATTCATCACATTATCTCTAGTCTATTAATATCCCTACTGTTGAGGTACATGCTTTCCTCATGGATTGAATCGAATAGGAGGATGGTGTTTATGACTCACAACGCAGGCCTAGTACAGATCGAAGAGTGTTAACGACTGTATATGCAGCCGGGACTTGCCTTTTGAAGCACGGAGGAGCTTTTTTTTAATACTTGACTACGAACCCACCTGATGGTAAGTGGTGATGAAGCCTTGGGTGGTATAGCGCATTAACCTAGTACCAGCCTATTCACTTTTGATTTGAAGACACACATTATAATCTGACAGAAATACAGACGCTGGCAATTTATTCCAGTCCTTCCAGTCTTTCCAGCTTGCGAAAATTCTTAACATCCGTTTTGCACAACAACCGTGTCGGCGAACTCCTTTAATATTTATTTTTATTTTATTTTATTGAGAATAAGAAACGGTTGTACAATCTGTATTACAGAGAAATATTATAAGCAATTTACAAGCAGCAACATTATCCGCTGGTTACTGATATGTAGTATCCAGGACAAAAAGTGCAAAAAATTAACGAGCAAATAAGAAACAACAGTAATTATAAGAGATTTCCACTAATATGCTCGGACATTAAGTATCACATTATATTAAATTAATCATATTATAGGTTTTACATATGAAGTTAGATTAACCTCTATAGTTGTCTTTTAAAGGTTATTCATGAGTTGTATTACACTAAACTTCAGTATTTTCCAACTGGAGCTTTGTGATTTATATCGATCAAATGAGACCGACTTGGCAGCGGCAAGCAATATTCCAAAGATTAAAGTTTATTCTGTGTTTGTTGAAGCGATCTCTCGTTCGCGTTCATTGACTTTAGTTGAAATGGATCTTGATTCTTGAATTTGTGTTTGTACTGTTGTTATTTCCGCTACCTAATGTGAAATTAATCTTTGATATTACCCTCTCATAATTTAATCAGATTTTTCTTAATCGAACTTTTCTTGATTGAACGAGAAGAGATACTATTTTGATCAACCGCAAATTCAGCTTTATGTATTGCAGTATCAAAGAATTGGTTAATAGATAATTCTTGCACTATATACTTGTGAATAGCACCTTTTTATTTGAATTTGTATTATAATTATTAATCTAGTCGATGAACGCAGCGCTGTCACAGGATAGAGGTTCAATCAAATAAATCCTACTTTAAGAGGTAATAAAGGTTTTATCTTATCAAAGCACTATGATGTGACAGCTCTTCGCTCAATGACGAGTTCAAAGCTGTTTTTAATATAATAGGATAGCAGATAAGTTTATATTTTTGGTTAGACGAGATTTACTTACCCGCTGTGTATTAATTTTTTTTTAAGAATTTTTAATATATCCTATTTTTAGGGTTTTGTAATAAACCCCTACAGATCCCTAAAAACCACCATGTCTGTCTGTCCGTCCGTCCGTTAAGGTCGAAAAGTATTGGTAGGTACTAGAAAGTTGTAATTTGCCACGAGTAAACATGTTAAATACGCTGAAAATTTTAAAAGGATTTACTATTATGTAAAGTGAGAATAATATTCGTTTTTTTCGCCTTCCCCGTGTCGTTGGAGAGGTCTTTCAAAAACATTGGGAGTGTGGGAAAGCGTTTTACGAGTTAAGCAAGCCGTTTGTGACTTATTAATAGAGATGCTGCGAATATTCGGCCAACTATTCGGTATTCGGCCTATTCGGCCACTTTTTAGGTATTAGGTATTCGGCCGAATAGTGATCAGTATTCGGCCAAATGCCGAATACCAAAAAA